TACACGCGAATGATGATTTGTTAAGATAAAACATAGCAACAGAGATTGAAGTTTTTGTTTAAACCTCACGGACTGTCCGGTGGTTCACATGGTTATCTAAAAAGATGGTTTGATATTGATGGGCCTACGCATTGGCTATATAACTACCACTCCACATTAATTGTAGGAATATTTTCTATGGATGAAGATTCTCCTACATTAATTGTTACATTACTGAACAAATCAACATCTAATCAAGGGAATAAATATGTCAAATTAAAATGTTAAAACAAAATTCATAAATATTTTAGGATCATGCATGATACAAACTATGGATTCCTCCTTTTCTTAGGCCTCATATATATAGAATCATATGCGATTCTACTTGTACTATCTTAGGATCATTATCAATTATATATTAAGAAAATACAATCCGTGGAGGATCCATCTCTTGGCGACTTCAGGGGATGGTATAAGGTGTACTGAGTTCTGAAAATCTTAAACTCTACGATTTTAACCATCTGAGTTTAAGAGTTTCAGGACAAGATACACCCGGGCGTTTGGATCCCTTTATTTTGGAGGAATTGAAATATACACAATGGATTAGGCTATTTGACTTGGAATTTGACATTCCATAACTTTCTTAAGCTCACAAATAAGCCTATCTCGAATTCATAGGGTGTGAGATGGAAATAGATTCTATAGACCACAATGCTATAATTCTATTCTCCAACTTATAGCACACTCTTCAACTCACTTCCCTATAATAAAAATACAACATATAAGTATGTCCCTTGTATGCATAACAATAAATATACAAATATATTCTATATACAACTATATTAGCTTAATTAATCTATGATTAAATTATAATTATTAGAATGAATTCAATTCCAATGATCTAAACGGGCCCTTATACAAATCTATACTATCTTATAGGATTCCTAAAGTTATTCATCTCTTTTCACTTTTTCAAAGCCCATTTCGTGATATTTTCTTGTACTACAGATGTAGGCATTCATAAAAGTGTGACTGTAGCTGGGACAAAGTTAGCGTGACAATAGCTTGTATTTTAGGATTAAGAATACTGACCCGAGAGTAAATAAGTGGTTTTCACAAATTAGAAGATACTCCATCTGTCCCGAATTAAATTAATCCCTAGAGTTATTTTAAGTTTGACCAACTTTATAAAAAAAAGGCACTAAAATTTATTATACCAAATTAGTATCACTACATACGTCATGAAATGTATTTTATTATATGCTTATTGGGTGTCATGGATGTTGTCACCATTTTCTATAAATTTAGTTGAACTTAGGATAGTTTAACTAAGGTGATTCTAGAAATTGATTTATTTGGGACAAATATAGTAGTAAACAATTTATTACTCCCTTCATTCCCAACTGTATGATGTTTTCGCCTTTCTAGATTTATTTACTATATATCTAGATATAGTGTACATCTAAGTGCATAGCAAAAGCTACGTATCAAGAAACGGCGGTGCTAGCGTCCGGACATCCAGACGGACACGCACATCCGGACGCCCGCGCCTGCACTCCGTTTTGCGCGCCCACGTGGGGGCCCACGCTGTCCTAACGACACCTGCGCCTCCCGACCCCCACACGGAGACCGCTCACGCCCCCTCTACTTCCCCCGCTCGGACACCTGCTGCGGCAGGTGGGTCCCCAATAGCAACACCCAATCTGTTTTCAAAACTTTCAGATGAAATATTTCCAACATACGTGTGAAGATAGATGAAACACTTAAAACATACGTTTTTGAAACATTGAAACATGCGTCTGAAAACACTTGCAAAAACACCTGAAAACACTTGAAAAAAAGTCATTGAAAAAATATGCAACATCCAGATAAAACACTTGCAACGTATGTGTGAAACATATGCAACTTCCAGATAAACACACTTGTAACATACGTTTGAAAACAAATAAAACATTAATTTGGAACAGACGCTTGCCATTGCAACATATGAAATATCCTGGCCTACTTTTGCAACATCCATATGAAACACTTGCAACATGCCTCTGAAAACATCTAAAACACTCGAAACATACTCTTGCAACATTCGCTTTCAAGCACAACATCTATTTGCTGCTTGGACGAATGGAGGCTCGGTGTAGGGCCGGCTGCGCATACCAGCAGCATGCCGGAGGTGCACTAAAGGTGGCGATGTGCCGGGAGACATCCACCTTGGCGAACACGTGCAGGAGATGCAGGGAGGCGAGGCGGACGCAGAGGTAGCGTGGTTGGCTGGGTGGAGGGCCACCAGGGATGGCTCACCACGGTTACTATCCTATGGTCGTGACGAGCAGGAAAAAGGGGGCGGCGGGGGATTTGCTCGACGAGCATGCATAGGGGGAACTACGAGCCTAAGGCGGCGTTGGTGGAGCTAGGAGTCGGACGTGAGAGGGCTAGAAGGGAAGGGAGCAACGGCAACTGGGGAGCTCCGGGCTCGGCCGGCCCCTGTCCGCGCGTGCGAGCAGAAAAGAGAGGGAGAGAGCGGGGCATGACGAGAGAAGGGAGCGTGAGAGAGACAGAGGAGCAGGCATATTGGGCTCTGCAGGCCTAGGAAGGCTGACGCTTGCGGTTGTGCGTGGCGGAGAGGGTGGCCAGCGCCGGGCGACGAGCAAGAAGTCGGAAGGAGCAATGTCGGGTGAACGAGAGAGGAAAGGAGACGAGTATACGGATATTTAGAAGAGAAGCTGAGGTAGAGGGATGTGAGGCTGTTAGGCTGCCACATTACGTCCGGAGATTAAAGCTGTCCAAACAGTCTAATCTTATCAATTTTGATCTAGGCAAGCCAAAACGTCTTATAATTTAGAACAGAAGAAGTACACGGAAAAGCGACTATGCCAATTTTGCGGTTGTGGGGTAACATGCAGCAGTTCAGCGTCTATGAACGCAAATTGCACAAAGTTGAACAAATTTAAATGACCTCAGAGTGTGACATGACATTAGTAATGATGATAGAACACGCTAAAGACAAAAACATGACATCGCGACACAGTAGCTATTGCTTGGCGACGAGTTCAGATTGATTTTGACAAAATGGCTATTGCTTTGTGGCAAATTTGAACTCCAACAATTCCGTCTCGCCTTGTTTTACACGGTGGATTCGCTTGCATAAAGAAACAACCTGAAGCAAAGACTTGCATACCAGTATGGAACAAAAGCTTAACGGAACGGACTTTGTAGCATCCCGACGTCCGATCCGGACGCTAGCGTCCTGACGCCCGCAGCTACTAGCCTGATGCGCCTGCTGCCCACACTGCGCTGCTCGCCCGCCTGCCCGTTGCTATGCCCGGATGCATGTGGCTACTAGCCTGATGCACCTGCCCACCTGCTCGCCCGCTCGCGCCTGCTGCTGTACGCCCACTCCGCTCCGTAGGGACTGCCCGCGCCCACCTCGGTTCCCCGCACACGTGGGGACCGCCTGCGGCCACGGGACCGTCTCTACCTGCACCCGCTTCTCGAGCCTGCTCATGAAACACGGGCAATATGAAGAACTTGTTGCAATGTATGTCTGAAACAGATGGAACATTTGGAACATATGCTTGCAACATATGTGTATAGCCACTGCAACATATGCAACATCCAGATAAAACACTTGTAGCATATGTTTGAAACAGCCGAAATATTTGGGAACGTACACTTGAAGCATATGTGTATGATTGCAACACGTGCAACATCTCGATATATTTTTGCAACATCTAGACGAAACACATGCAACATACGTCAGAAACAGCTAAAACACTTGCAACATACGTCTGAAACATTTGCAAAAACATCTTAAAACACTTAAAACCATTGCAAACATACGCAACAGTGTACAACCATTGCAACATATGCAACACCGCGATCTACTTTTGCAACATCCTTACGAAACACTTGCAACATACCTCTAAAACATATTAAACATTTGAAATATACGCTTCCATTATGAATCGTATCCCGGTGCGGCCTCCTACGCCGTCTGCATCGGGGCGCCGCAGCAGTAGCAGGAGGCAAGGCCGGAGGGCTTCCGCACCAGGGCCCGACGCTTCTCCTTGCGCGGCGGCCTCAGTGGCTAGCTGGCGGCCGAGGGAGCGGTCACCACGCGTGGGCGTGGCGGTGCCCTGGCCGTCAGGCGGAGCGGGCCGCAGAGCAGGAGCAACGAAGCAGTGTGGCATAGCAGGAGAAGGAGCAGGCGGGGTGACCGTCAACGGTGGAGCGGACCGTAGAGCAGGAGCAGAGAGGCTGGCGATAGAGCAAGAGCAGCGGCAGGAGCAGAGAGGTCGGCGATAGAGCAGGAGCAGACAGGGTGATCATTGACGGCGGAGCAGGTCTCTCGTCTCCTTCTCCTTTCCTTATCCAACCGGCGCAACGGAAGGGATACGTAATAAATAAACGAGCGGGCGTAGAGCGGAGGTCTATTGGGCTGGTCGCGGGCCCACGAAGGAGCGTCCGGACGGATGGACCACGTAGCATTTCCGAAAGCCTAAATCTAAAGTTTGCGGCCGTGCATCGTCGGTGAATGTCATTGCGTTCTTCTGTCAATCTGTCTATCAAGCTCGCAATAGTACTTCCAATCACGTCGGTGGCACTAACTTCCCTTAGATAAGTAAACAAAATGACACATAACGACTTAACATCTCAATTCTACTAGATTCTCACCATATATAAATAGTCATGAACAGGATCCTGATTTTTTTTCCCACCATTAAACATAACCAAAGTTTGTGCATGTGATCCAAAGGGGCCCTGACCGGAATCAGAATGCAACAAATGATGTGGATTTGTATTTGCGTAGGCTGTCTGTTTTTCTCCTGTAATATACAACACTGGAATCGATTGAGCTGAGTTTCTAGTGGGTACCCTACCCTTTATTACATTTTGTAGTGCACCCATGGATAGAACTCACTCATCTTGTACAATGATCTACAATCTACAACAGAATACTCCAAAAGAATGGTATTTGTCATTTGACTCTACACCTAACAACAGGTTCAATAACGATATCGACGTCATTGTCTTGAATCCATGGATGAGTTAAATTTCAGAAAGGCTTGTCCCAGCATGTCACCCAGCTGGAGTTGAGCTTCTGTGGAGAGGTGCAACTGATCATCGCGGAGCGGCAATCCTATTGCATCTACAAGAATGACGTTAGGAAGCTTGATATTTCTCTGAGCTTCCCTGACAATATCAGTGTAATTACCCTCTCCTGATGCAAGACCAACCTGAAATTAACAACTGCCATATAAGTTTCTTGTTTCTCACTCTGGATAAACTGATGCAAGAGAAGAAAAAAAAAGGTATCACACTATTCACGATTTTTTGACCAAAGACATTTGGAAGCTGCAATTAGATGTAAGAGAGCAAAGATTTGCTTAAATGTGGGAAACGATGCAAGACCACATTCTTCCAAGACTTTTAGAACTTTACTAAAATATAAAATGTTTCCCAGTCAATGTGTGAACCACAGTGTACATGTCTAAACAAAACTACCGAAGCGCACAAATAATAATAGAGAATATTCTTTTCCATGACATCACATGTACTGAACCTTCATTAGGCCAAAGTACTGTTACTGGACTCCATTTCATATCTCAACTGCAGAGGTGGAGCCCAGCATCCCAATGATCATGTGCATTGTTATAATATAAAGAGTAAACTCAAAGAGTGACAAGTGACAAGCAACAAACTCCTTGCTCCTAGTGGTAAAGTGCCCTCCTTAGACATTCAAATCAGCTTGTTCAAGGGAGTCAAAAAAAAAAGAACATTCAGATCATACTTTTTTCAAACAATGTTGAATTGGTCATCAGTCCCGTGCTCTAATCATAAAGACCAAAAATATAACCACTTTGAGTCAAAGGCAAGAAATATGATAGTGATGTAGAAGTCATACCTTTCTATTAGGTAGGGTGTACTGTAATGTGTTACTTGGAGGAAGCCAATCATTTTTAAAAGGAAGTTCGACAAGAACCACAGAATTTCTCAAATTTCTACTCAAATGGCAGCTTTGGAGCTATTTTTCTGATGAGTTATTATGTTTAGTTTGGTGGTCTCTGGTATGCTGCCATTTTCTGTGACATCTACCTTTGGTTGGACGTATCGTTGCATGGAAGACTAGGTAGCTAAATGATGGTTTCCTTTCTACACTACAATTGCTCACAGAAGGGTGGCCCTAGTAACCTAGTTAGCACATTCACAACTAGAGTACTTTCAGTGAGTCATAAGCAGCATTTTATTACAATATTACTTATGTTGAAACCTTAGTAGCACATATGTTTCAGTCATTCACTCATTCTTTGTGCGGAGAAGGTTTTTATATGTTCCATATTCTTAGAATCTACTAATCGAGTTAACTAAACCTATGATAATAGTACTCTGCATATCAATCAGTAGGGCCTTCAATCATGATCTTAACATTTTGAAATACTTTCATGTGGGTTTTGAGTTCTATGAACTTAAAGGGGTGTATGTTTTTGCCTTCAATCATGTATCCCTTGACATTTTGAAATGCTTTCATGTGGGTTGAGTACTATGAACTCAAAGGGGCATACATTTCCATCTGGTGATGTCCTAGACATGATCCTTTTAAATCTGGCTTCGCTTTCAAATGAATGCAAAAGAGGATATGAGTATGACTGGCATGTTCAGCATTCTTTCCCCATACTAGGCCAATGGGTAAACTATTAATTTTAATAATGAGTAAAGTCAATCAAAATTGAGCACTTTGAGGTTGCGTTAATCAAGATGTCCCTTTATTGAAGCTGATTTTCAATAGAGTTCCTCGAAATGGATGACAAAAGTGATCGGCCTTGTCAGTTGATTTCAGTAAAAGTAGGATTATTTATCGTCTAAAATGAGTGCTTACGGCTTACGCTATCATGCTGACGTGCGCTGATGTTTGTTTGTAAGAAAGGAGCCAACTTTCAGGCTTGGCTTTAGCAACGTGGAATTAGACCATTTCCATAAAGAAATAAAATTGGTCCTGAATTCAAGCTGACGCCATGACGGAAGCACATGGAGAGTGGGGGGAAGAAGAAGAAGAAGAAGAAGAAGAAGAAAGAGGAATCCGCGTGTTGACCTGTATGACGAGCAGATTGGGGATGCCGAGATCGGCCCTGAGATCGTTGACGAGGCGCTCCATCCTGCCTCCATATGCTGTGGCGTCGTCGAGCTCGATGGTGTCGCTCTCCCCCTGGAACCAGAGCACGGCGCCGAGGGTCCCGCCGCCAGCTGCAACGGCGGCGCGCGCCCTGGCGACGGCGGCCTCGTAGAGCGGCTCCCCTTTAGCCCACATCCAGATCCTAGTACCCCCCACGGCGGAGGGCACGAGTCCCAGGACGAGGTCGGAGTCGGAGTCGGCGGCGGTGGCGTGGAGGAGGAGGCGGTGCGCGAAGGGCATGGCGGGGCCGAGGCCGCAGGCCTTGTGTGTGTCGATGTCGGCGTGGAGCGGCGGGGCCGCGACGACCCAGCGGCGTGACGCGGCGAGGCGGAGCACGCGCGGGTGCGGGCGGAACGGAGGCGGGAGCGGCGGGGGCGGCGCGACGCCGCGCCCGGCCATGTTGGACTGGCCGGCCAGGAGGAAGACCAGCTTGGGGCTGCCCGCGTAGGGCGAGGCCGGGAAGGCGAGGAGAAGGGAGGAGAGGTGCGCGGCGAGCGGCGGCGGCGCGATGAGGAGGATGGAGAGCGCTGCCGCCGATGCCAGCGCGCACAGCAGCAGCAGCGGCCGCCGCGGCGCCGGCTTCATGGTGAGGAGTGGCTTGGGCTCGTGGCTCCGGCTCGGTGAGGCAGCTGGATTTCCTTTGGGAGGAGGGAGGGCTCGGTGGTTGGGCTTTCCGCTTCTCCTCCTTGCCCGCTTCGTTGGCTGACTTGGACGTTTCGGCTTGGCCAGTGACCACCAGCCACACCATAAGCTGCTAATAACACGTGCATGTATCATCACAAACTTTTCAATGTTTTTAGTGCAGCTGAATCAGTTGAGCTCAGACTAAGGCCTTTTGATGCCAGCTCCTTGGCTTCAAATGCCAGAATTCCGTGGACTTCAGAAACGTTGGTGTTAGTACCATCTTGCCTCAACTCAGAATTTTGTCACGTGACCCAGAAGAATTCAGCAATGCGAGCCAGAGTCAAGCAGGGCCCAAACAAAGAATTTTGTTATGTCTACTCTGCTTCTGGTGCAAACGGTGACACAATTAGCAAAATGGCACTAAAAATATTAAAACGTCAAACCATAAGGCTTGCGTGATACTGTGATAGCCAGTGTTTTTTTAAAAAAAAAAAGTGGATAAACCTCTGCTTTTAAGAGAGCAACAGTCATTCGGTACATACATCACTGGATAAACCAGTTTAACAGGAAGAGCTGTGATAGCCAGTGTTTAACAACAAAATTTGCAGTCTGTACGAAAATTTTAGAATACGTTTTATTACTGGCATGAATTTGGAGGAAATAAACCAGCCATACTGTTTTCTTGATGTACTTGCAACGACATTACCCTGTTCGCTTGGGCTTGTTTGGTTTATAAGCCATACTTTTTCAGCCAACGAACAGTATTTTTCTCTCACACCAAATCAGCCAACAGTACTTTCAGCCATGACTGAAGCCATGGCTCGCAGGGATTGTACACGTCATGGATTGTGGGCTACTTTAGTTGCTCAAGAATCTCAGCGCAAGAAATGCCCGGCACCACATTTTCTGTTGCCAGTGTGATTCTAGCCGTATATATAGCGATTAATAAAGATGAAAACTCTATGTTAAACGAAAAGGAAAAGGAAAGCCTGCCCAGTCGTGTGATGAGCATCAAAGCCTAGATCTTAAACCAATGTAATACTAATACGGATAAAGAACGGGTGAGATTATATCCTTACATAAATTCTCCCTACAAGTTAACCTTGACATGGCAACAAGCTGAGAACAGGGGGTTCATAGTAGCCACACCTTACTACCTTAGCTTGACCTCATAAGCCCAGAAGTTACCCTAGACACGGTAAGACTGCATTTATACAAGGCAGATTAGCACACCTACATAAGCCAGTCCTACATCTATATATCTACTCGTTTCAAGGTTGGATCAGTGGATCAACACAGCACCTAGGCTTCAAGGGCGCCTCAGCTGCGGATTCAAGGCATACCCTACTGGGAGTCTAGTCCCCGGAGCCCCCTGCTGGTTTGTTCTGGAAGCGGCAGCAGCGGCTGCACCCATTCGAGAAGCAATTATCATGCTCCGCTCCAACATAAGCTTCTTCCGCATCCTCTCTGTTGATTCTCTCCATCGTAAGGCCAAGTTTTCAACGTCAGTGAGAAACGACATTTTTGTTTCTATCTTCTGAAACTGCATGAGATAGGATGTCAGGGGGGCAGAGGCAATGCACACAACATTTGGGAAACAGAGAACAGGTATAAATATCTTCTAAAAGTACCTAGTACCTATGCCAGCAGCCTAACTGAAAAAAATGGGGCATTGGAATCTGAAACTTTGATCAAAACATAAATGGCATATGAAGTACCTGCTTTTCGATCACAACTGCAGCTAGTTGCCGAATATAACCCTCCTCCTGCTCCGCAAGAAACTTAGCCTTCACTGCAGCTGCTGAAATGGCAGTACCAGCTGCTCGCTGTAGCCTTATTATGGGATCATCATCGGACGCAATGTTTTCATTGCTTTTAGGTTCTGTGACGACATATGACCAAATTATTTCTACATCATGGAAATTATTTTATAATCCATATACCTCAGGGAAATGACAAGAAAGTTAAGCTGCATTTACAGTGCGCTTTCCATATAACAACCCAAGAGAGTTGCACGCCATAGTATTGAGAAGAGAATAAAAAGTACAGAGGAGAAGCCAAAGAGACCACTCGCAAACATACAGAATGCACACATAAAAAGACAAGTTACAGACACGCCACACTCTAAGATTTTAGATTTTAAACGAACACGACCAGCATGACTCTACAAAACTAAGTCCAAGGTGAACTACCGAAGGAGCTCATGGAGCAGAGAGGCTAAAGCCATGCACCATAAACTACATATAACATACAATGACTCCCTCTGCCACATAATATAGGCCCTCATGCAACAAGAGAGTTAAACTCCATAAGTATTGATGATCAGTCATGCAATCTATAATATGTTGATTGTTTTTCAAACACAAAAGACACAATTACATCTGCAACTTAAAACAGTTACGTTCATATGACAATGAGTTGTAGTCACTAGTAATCTATCACAAACTTCATCTTAGTCAAAGTTTAGTTTCTAGAGAGTGGAGAACATTCTATAGGCATGGGAAGCCAATTAATAAACACCAGCTGCAGCAGAGTAATTAAACTGGGAGAAAAAAAATATATTTTTAACTTGTTGAATCTTGTATCCTATATTTCAGATAATCAGTTTCTTCATGCCCATGGAAGCTAGGAAATCTGTTACTGGTCATGGTATCATGGAGGAGTTTGGAACCCCAGGACTGAGGCAGATTCCTCAATGGCGTGTAATGAAAACAATATAATATATGAGGCCTGTTTGAGAAAATAATGTATAAGGTTGAATGAAGTACCTTCAGTGTTGCCATTTCCAGCTTGTTTGCACTCACGCAGTTGCACACTAGATGAGGCAGCAGGTGCATGTTCAATCTTCTTGGGCTCTATCTTCCCTTGTGAAGGTGAAACATCAGCTGGTAATTCCTCAGAACTTGGTTTGTCCCCTTCAACTTGTTCAGGGTTAGTTGTGTCCTTTGTACTTGCTGCACTGGCTTCTTGGGAAGGTATGGAACTAGGTTCGGTTGCACTATTTGAAGTAGCAGAACATGAAATGGCATTAGCATTACACCCATCTCTCATCTTATCAGATGCTACACTACTGTCCACCTTAGCAATTGAATTATCAGAATCCTTTGTGCTGTTGGATTTGGCCTCTGCCTCAGGACCTCTTTCCTTTGTGTCAGATAATTCCAGGTGCTCTTTCTGTGAGGTGAATGCAGCATTCTCCTTTTCAAGACCTAAATCATTTTCTTCCCTTTCACTGCTGTCTTTATCATTATCATTCACATTTTGAGTAGTATCAGCACCTTCTTGGCACTCACTGCCTGTGCAAGCGCTGCAAGTCCAATTTTTTATCAGTAAAATTTGGCACTTGCAGGTCTACACCAAACAAGTGCCCTAGGATAAGTTACATTACCTGAAAGTGGAAGTTGGATCTTTGAGGTCGCTTGGTGGATCTGGAAGAATAAAACAGTGCTCAGTTGCCAGTTGGAGAGCAGGAGATATCTCTGATATAGCTCTCAATGAACTACGGCATGAAGAAACAGCATCATCATGTTCCACAAGAGAAGCCAAAAATGCAGCCTGCAAGTTATTTATCCAAGCATCAAAGAGAGCTCTTGTCATGTATGTAGTAAAAGATTAACAAACTCAGAAGCGTGTACTCACTAGTGCCATCACAGGATTTCCAGCTTCAGCAAATGAACCCAAGTCCTCTTGGCCCAGAAAGTGGTCAACTGCTTCAAAAGTAGATCTCAGGACATCAATAACAAAGTTGGATGTGTGTTCCCCAGAGACATCAGCATTAGCAGAATTTTTCTGATGTGCAGGATCCATCAATGAAGATTTATTTGATTCATCATCAATGGAAGCAACTAGATCATCATCACCTGCATCCATGGTATCCTCTTTCGCAGAAACATTTTGGTCAGCTAATTTTGTTCTTGTTTCTGAAGAAATAGAATTTGCTTTCTTGTAAGCTTTTTCATCAGTGCTCTCTTTTCCTTCTGCATTGCCATCTACATCCATTTCGTCAGGTACATCAGAAGGACCAATTTCTGAATCCTGTTCTGTGATCTTCTGGGGTGTTTCATTGAAATCTTCACCATCTAGAAATGGTTCAGAAATTGGCATTTGAAGGAAGTATAACATGCACTGTTCTTTTGTTTTTGTAGCAACATGCTCAGCAATCTCACCCCATTCTTTTCCTTTGAAAATTTCTAACGCTTCCAAAAGAAGCAATGTCTCCTGGTCAGTCCAGTTAGAACCACCAGACCCTGGAACTTCTGCAGATTCCATACGGATGAAATCAGCTTTTGACATGCCTTCATCAAATTTTCCTTCATTGTAGCACTCAGAACAAAAATCAAAGTCTACCTGGAAATGATTAAGATGAAATTAATCAGCATTGGACCCCAAAATAAATAACAGATATATCAGACAGTAACGATAATTAAATAGTCTTTTGTGACAGGGTAAAGGTGCCACAATAAGATGGTTGCATGGCCAGTCATCTAAAATATGCGCAGTGAAACCACTAGGTGAACATACTGTAATGTAACCGAAAGTAGTCAGACTGAGGTTAAGCTGCCTCATGTAAAGCTAAAGATTGCCCCTTTTGGGGGTACAAGTGTACAACACCCCAACATTTATCTGTTTTGTTCATAATGCACAAGGTAAAGTATGATACCCAGTTGCATAGAATTTATGCGAGACTAAGAACATATATCATTTCTTAACTAAAAAGATAAATTGTCGAACCAATTAGCATGAATTACTCAGCTGCAGCTTTGTGCAAGCATAACTTCTCAATAAAACATAATGAGATTTGAATCGACCAGTTATATATGCCACTTAAAATGTTCAAAAAGGCACCAGGTATTAGGAAGGCAATGGGGTGGAACCTAGCGGCAATCACCAATTAGGCATGCCAGGTGGTCATTAGGTACAGTGTATTGTGGGTGTGAGGCAGGGACCAGGGACAGCCCAGCCCTCCCTCATGGGCAACACAAGAGATAGGATTAGGCCTTATCCAAGTTAGTTAGATAAGGCACGAATTATGGTTACTTTGGCAGATATACTGTTAGTGTTAGGGGTGCACGTTACATGCCTAGCTCTATAAAGGCAGGCACATGGTCTGTGTTAAGGGCTATAAAGGAAGGAACATCTTCCCGAGAGTCTAATCCTCCCCTAGCAGCCGGTGCTGCCCAGCAATCCTCCCAGCGATGCTTATCTCTAATGATCCTTTAATCATAAGTTCATAACACAGTGGTAGGGTGGTCCATAGCAGCTACAAGTCACCTAAGCGAGCTAGGTGGTTGGTTTTTCAAATAGAGGATAAAGTATTTGGGAGCATCTTGCGACTTGCGTAGCACTTCCAGAGCTTCATCTTCAACCACTAGCCCAGCAACTCACTCCACAGTTGGTGGTCAACCATGGCAACCACAACTTCCCAAAATGTGGGGTCTGGATTTTGGTGATCCTAGCATGTTGAGTGGGTGTGGAATGAACAGTGCGTGCAATTTGGAACAAAGAGAAAACAGCAATCCCACTCCTAGCAAGGTTCAAGGAAGAAGCGAGAACTTGGATACTAACAGAGCAAGGTAACTCGCATGTTTATTGCAGCGAGCATATGCTTTTGTCTAGCCACAGCCATTTTTTTCTTTTCATGCCTGTCTTGGCATAACTTCTTTTCAGTATAACTGTCAGCTCACCAGCCGATATGTCAATAAAAAAGCAAACATATAGATACAGGGAAATACAAGGAAGCAAAAATCATCGCTATTCTGATTCTCATTACCTTGATCCAGTGCATGGAGTAATTCACTAATTCTTAATGGAAAGCTCACTAGGCTGCTTGTTCATCCTTATATTCCTCAAATAGCACAGATTGTACATGCCGATTTTATATGTCAAGGTATGCCACCCAACTGGCCATATGGGCTAAAAGAACACACGGAAGGAACAGCAGATCAAATCATTTTTGTTTAGGTTGATTTTTTAGTTGGATTCGAACAATCATCAATTAGCTAAATACTTACCCCGATACGCCAAGGAAGGGACGTATCCCATATCGGATACGTATCCGATACCGATACGGCATGGATACGCGTTGGATACGTATCAGCGAAGTATCCGTAAAAAAAAAATCAACTATAATTCGGATACTCTTCTTAGATACGTTAGGCTCGTCTGATACGTCAGTCCGATACGGCCCAACCCATCTGACCACTCGGCCACTCCCCACGCCTGCTGCCTTTCTTATCCCGTAACCCAACACAGCCGCCACAACACGTCCAGTCATCCACACGCAAGAGCCCCTCCTCTCGCGCGTCGTCTCCCGTGCAAGAGATGCGCCGCAGCTCGCCAGTGGTCGGCAACAAGCCCCCGCCGCATCCTGCGCAACCCCCCTCGCGTCGCATCCTGCACACGCGCGCCACCTCCCGCGCAGGAGTTGCGCCACCGCTCGCCGGCCGCCGGCGACAAGCCTCCGCCCCCTCTGTGCCATCAATCGACCTCTCGTCCTCCAGGTCGCCACGCAAGAGAGCACTGCGCTGGGAGCACCCACCAGTCCACTAAGGACGCGGCTAGCTCCCGCAATGCAGGGAAGAGGACGATTCAGCACTCAACAGCAAAGCCTTCCGCCGACCTCCATCAGTACACCCTTTTTCATTCTTGATGTACTCTACTTCTGCAATTGTTGCTTTGCTTTGTTCCTGACCTACTGTTTTAGATAGACTTGGTAATTGCACATTCATCAAGGATAGTATGGACTTGGATCTCCTGACCTAATCACCTAAAAGGTGATCTGGTGATGTATCATATATGATTGTATGAACTAACTTATAATTAGTGATTACTCAAATTTTACACTTCCACAATTTTAATTTGCATTATTATTTACTTTATTAAAAATAGTAAAACGTATCCGCGTATCGTGTTTTTTGAGAAATTGCCGTATCCGTATCCTTCTGATACCGATACGTGTATCCGTATCCGTGCTGCATAGGCTAAATATCTTTTATCTTCTAGTTGGTTAGTTCAATATTTTTTGAAAATACAAACTCCACCACAACCTAGGAGGAACAAGGAGGCATCATAAATAAGAAAGAAGAAACAGGCATCTAAGTTCAACTCGACAGCACAGTATCTTACTGAATGTACACATGAGACCATCATCTATGAGGAAGCAAGAAACAAAAGTATATGTCCCATCACAACACATATATCTCATTCAATCCTATTTGCTGAGATGTTTCTCCGTGTTGTCCTGCAACCCCTGTTTTGTTTTCTCCAAAGCTCATAACAATGTACAACTAACATTCCAACACTCAACACAAGAAATTCTCAAACATTTGTGGATAAAACACTATAGAAAAACACATAGCGATACAAGTCATTATCTTGGAGAAGTGAAACTGACCTGAGTCCTACAATGATAACGCTTTCTTGAACAATCAACTGAGCAGGAGTTGCAATGATACTCAACAGAAGACTCAGCTGCACCTATCGCATCTTCAGCTAGTGTAGGCTCAGAGAGCAAGCTAGTGAATTGAACTGGAGATATTGCTTCAGCTTTCTTTGAAACAGGTACCAGGTACGAATGAACTGTTTCAAACTGAAATAACTTCTCAACCGGAGAAATTTCATCCTCTATCTCAGCACTACTTTTACTCTCAACCAGCTTGCGTTCCTGCGTAACTGGTGGAAAAGGGTGGAAATTAACTAAGCCCCAATGGGCCAAAAACTCCAAGATTACCAGACGAGCATCCATCTCCCAATTGACAACTCGCACAAATCTTTGGACTCCAGATGCACTTCAGGATTAAAGTGAAACTTGTTCATGATTAAGTTTCTAATCCCCAAGTATATCTCGGGTGTCCGTCTCTCTGATTTCCCATCAAAAAATGTAGCCAACATTTGCTTCTCGATGGGGTGAATTTCCTTCCACGAAAACCATCCTTCAGGAAATAGCAAACTAGTAAAGAAGACAAACAATAATACAGTACAATACGCAAGTGCAATGCAATCCAAGGGCATCAGATGCATTTTTACGCTAAAGAGGACTAGCATTTTAAGTACTGTAGCTCCAGGACATTTCAGACATTATCGAATGACAGATGATAAGATCAAAGCCTCAAATTATAACAGATATTGCTCCATTCTCATGGCACCAACAGAACTTTTTCTACTTTGTATGTTATAGCAATAGCTATTCCCATAAGTTTGCCAAGCTACACATTTGTTAAACTAAAACGATATAGTCTGGAGGATGCACATGGACGACACACTGAAGAAGCCGAAGGAGATGATGCACATGGACAACACACTGAAGAAACTCCAAGAAGGACTGCAGGCTTGGTGAACCTGACGAAATGATGTCACTTGAAGGATGTCGACTAGTCTGGAGGATGGCTGCTTTAAAGTTGGTTTTCTGGAGGTGTTAAATAGAGGTTGATGAAGGTGGAGAAGAACGCCCTGGAGTGGAGATGTTTTACTCTGGCTACTATTAGTTTTACCTTTTTCTATCTGAGTGTAGTAGCGTTAGTCTGTTCTGTGCTTGTTAAAAGTTGATGTGCTAAACCTTGTAAGCTGGTAATCCTAGCAGTTACTGTTTGCTTTCAATATAAGCAGGGTCCCAACCTTTGGTCTAAAAAAAACAATATATAACTGACATTGGCAACTGTGCAGGATTTTGAATAAAAACTCCCTCAAAACTATATTACATGCTTACTGGTTTAAGCAAAGTCATTGTGCAATTACCAGACAAGTAGGACATTTACAGAAAATGAAATACACATGATTTTCCAGGTTTATAAAATGGAAGATGGTCGTAGAAAATGGTGGGTGTGAAACAACTTGCATAGTCATTGTACTTTTACTGTGGATAGCATCAAGAAGAATATGGCCGATGCAGATCAGTTTTAGCCTAATTCAAATTCAAGGAGAAGAACATAAGCGAGCATTCAGAGAAATGAATGGATCAAAATAGTTGAATCATTTTCTTCTTGATTATTGCATCTTTACACAAACTGACACGGGAATGTAGCTGCTAGCAGTTGAACCTAAAAGTGTTTCCTTGCAAGCATGTTAACATGGTAGACCTTAAAATTTGGTTGCCAAGACATCATGTTCATGAAAAAGATAAGTAAATGTATCACATTTACTACTGTTTCGAGGGTGTGCTTTACCAGAAAAGGTGAGGAATGAGGCAGAAATGTTTTCACTTTTCACGAGGACAGAATTAATTTAGTAAACTTGACTGCAGCTGATAGATGTTATAAAAAAACTAAAAGCTAGAATAGCCTAATCATGGGCGAAGGCTTAGATGTGGAGCAACTAGATTCTTGTATGTAAGAAGTGAGAAGGGAAAAGGCCAGCTAGTTAGTACAGTCTAAAAGGAGCACTAGACAAACAACAAGAAGATTTCTTTAAAAATAAAAAAGAATAAGAAAAGGCATAAATGTTGCGAAGTAATAATCAGCCAATTTATTAGGCTGAAATTGCACTATGGGATGACACTGCATTGGAGAAGGATTGGTATATTTGTATGTATTGTACCACAGAGATAGCCTATGGAAGAGGCAATATTCACAAAACAGCTCTCAAAAGATAAGTAGAATTGCAAGAAGTCTGGTAGCTGTTTTGTGAATATGGTAATTTCCATAGCCTGGCTGAATGATGCAATACATGAATGTACTTACGGTTCTGGGCATATGCAATGTCATGTGAAAATCGTTTATTTGGTATTAAATAGCAGAAGATCAGTTCTAGCCTAATTTCAACCATGGAAAAAAAAGCATAGAAATGACAGCATGATAATTAGTAACAAATTCACATATAACCATATGCTCGTTGACTATTGCATATATAAGCAAACTGGCACGGGAGTGCAGCCTCTAGCAGTCGAATCCAAACAAGACGCTAGAATGGAAAATTCCTCTTTACAGGCCACGTGCGACCAAAACCTTTGGGATATTTAACTTTTTACCATTATAACGGATGGCACCTCCTGAGATAGCATCTTTAGAATTGACACTACGATTTTACCAGCAGAGAGAGAAATTTGATACAAAATTACCACTTTTGCTCGCGTGGCACGCCAACACATCACTCCAGCGCGGATCCGAGTCAGCAGCCCCATGCGAAATGACGCCCCTGCCCCTGGCGTGTTTATACCCCCACTTGTCAGCCATCTCTCCCAGTCCCAGCCTCTCCTCCCGCTGACGGGTGGACCCGGCCGTCAAGGTCATCCCCTACCTCCAGCCACCGATCCCTTAGGCAGAGCAGGCGACAACGACGGGGGTGGGGTGGAGCTGGCGGGAGGGGCCGACGCCGGTGGCGGTGTCGTGCTCGGAGCCGATGCGCTGCCGCCGGTGCCGGTGCTACGGGTGGTGAGGACCATGACGACGAGCTTCTCGTCGGCGGGATGGCGCTGCGGGCACGGTTCGACGCCGAGAAGCGGTGCAGCAGGGGCGGTGTATCCTTGCTAGGCCAACGGAGGAAGCGGGGAGGCGAATGGTGGTGTCTGTGTGGAGACCCGAAGCTCGAACCAAAGCTCGGCAATGGCGGTGGCTGCGGTGATTGGCGGCGCTGGAGAACAAGAGAGGACAGAGGGAGGGGTGGGACGTCTGCGGCGTGGAGAGGGGCCTGAGGAGCGGCGGAGAGGGGGAGGAACGAGCAGTGGACACCCCTGGCAGTGGGAAGCTCGGTCGTATGCCGCCCATGGCGGCTTGACTCGGTGCGCACAGTGGAGGGATCGCGACTGCAGTGGTGTGGTGGATGCGGCGGAGGGGCCGGGTCCGTGCGGGATGCTGAGGACGCGGGAGGGGTGCGGACGGGGCACGGTCGCGTGGTCGCCCGGCCATGGCCAGCGAAGGGGATCAGTGGCTGGGGGTAGGGGATGACCCTGACAGGTGGGTTCCACCCCGTCAGCGAGAGGAGAGGTGGGGAGAGATGGCTGACAGGTGGGGTCCGACTGTCTGTGAGTATAAACATGCCAGGGGCAGGGGCGTCATTTCGCATGAGGCTGCTGACTCGGATCTGGAGTGATGTGTTGGCGTGCCACGGGAGCAAAAGTGGCAATTTCGTATCAAATTTCTCTCTCTACTAGTAAAACCGTAGTGTCAATTCTAAAGATGCTATCTCAGAAGGTGCCATCAGTTATAATGGTAAAAAGTTAAATATCCCAAAACCTTTAATTTTTTAACTCAAATTGCCAACCAACAAGGCCACATTGACGAATCTAGGAAGCGGGGGTATCCCATGTCTAAATACTGTCCGGATGCGGGAGCTTACCGGCGAAGGTGGGTACGACGTGGACGCCAGCGCCGCGGGACAGAACGGCCTCGATCTCCTTCTCCAGCGACGGCTGTGGTGGCGGCAACGGCGGCGGTGGTGGCGGCGGCGGCGGCGGGCCCTCCTCCTCCTGCGCGCGCGGCGGCTTCACGGAGCGCTGCGTCGATTTCTTGCGTGCGGGCTTGCGCCGCGGCTTGCGTGCCGGCTGGCGGCTGCGCGGTTGAGGCGGCGGGAGGGAGGGAGGGTCGACGGGCCCGCAATCCCGGGCCTGGCGTTTCGGTGGCGGGGACCCGGAGGGCGCTGCGGATGCGGCCCTCTCCTTGCGCTTGGTCGCTGCCCCGCGGCGGCGCGAAGGGGCGGCCGGTGGCGGCGGCGAGGGTTTGGGCTCCATGCTGAAGCGAAGCACTGGAGTGTGGAATGCGCGTGCGCCACTGTGGAGTGTGGACTGTACTGGAGTAATGTGTTTTGAGTTTGATGGCGACTTTTGGGGAAACCGCTTTGGTTCCTCTTTCACCTCAAAAAATTATGAGATCAAAATTCAACTTCTTATGTGTGTGAGTTTGTATATTTGAAAATAATATGAGTGGTTTTGTATAGTTTTAAAATTATATTTAGTTCTTCTTTGTATTTTAAATATTTTGTAACAAAAAAGGCACTAGTCAACATTTTGCTTTGGGGACCGTGTCAATATTAAAAAGGGATCCGGGTATGTTTGTTTTAATGATTAAAACTTGTCACATTAGGTTAGTAGTGTCATAGTTTTTAGTAGTTGTTTGGTTCACTACCACGATATGCCACGATATGACATCATATTTTTTAGCATTTTGTCTCACATATTATAGACCCATTTTTTGACCAAATTCGTCACCAATGTGGCTTTTATTTTGTTTGCCATATTTTCTGTGACTGTCACGGTTTATTTAAGGTTAGGTATGATATCCTACAGTTCCAACCAAACGTCTTTATAGAAAATAAAACGAAAGGGGCAAAATCACATTTCACATTGGATGGGTTATTTACTAGTTCAAGAGCTGCTTGGATTCAATCATTTTAGTAATGCTCAGAGTTTGCAAAGTGCAATTGGTTACTATGTTCTCTAGTGGACAGTGATGTGCTGGTCAAACTTGTGCCCAAATTTTCCATTACTGAAATTTGACCCGTATGAATTTTTGGGCTCAGAGCTTAATTTTATTTGCGAAATCATACCCCTTTTTTATCATAGTAGTAGTCGCATCACAATTGACATCTTGCAGTTACTAGCCTGTTGACACGTCAAAATAAATGCAGAGATCTCTCGTCGAAGTGCGTCCTGGGCTTGTTTGGTTTATAAGTCATGGCTGAAAGTACTGTTGGTTGGTTTGGTGTGAGAAAAAAATATTGTTCATTGGCTGATAAGCCATGGCTTATAAGTCAAATACGACCAAACAAACAGGCTAGTGATCTACAACGGATAACATGTGTTTGACCCACTCGTCATACAATAATCTTTGTCTTTAATTTATTTATTTATTTTTTTTTCTAAATAAACACGGTTGATCATAACTTATAAGTATGTCTATACTTCGAAGTACATTGAAAAGTATCATATTTTGAAAGTAAAAGTACATAAATCGAAATCATGGTTCACATGTAAATTTATTTAATTTGATGCATTACTAATAAGCTTAACGTGTTATTACGATACTAATAACCCTAATGTATTTTATCTTTTTTCTAAAAGTGTGAATAGTTTTAATGTCTTGTAATATTACATACTGCCCATTAGGCCAATAAGGGGGGCGTTCGGCTGGTGCAAAATTCCTCCGGAATTCACTATTCATGACAGGAATTCATTGTTCACGCTCTCACAAATTCCTCCAGATTCATCCAAATTCCTCCAAGCGAACAGGACCAAGATCACAATCTTTTGGCGACCATGACGTTTTAAATTAGGGCGTGGCTAGCGTCCAGACGTTCGGGCGCCAGTGCAGCCCTCCCCCGTCCGCCTTCACTCCGCGCCAACGAGTGCACTCCGCCCCGTCTCTGCGTTCGCCAGTCCTTCCCCTGACCCCTCCTCTCTCTCCGACTCTCTACACGGGTGACACTCGGGGGTCGGGATGAGCAGTTGAGGACGAGCATGCCCCAGTGCGCCTCGACACACAGCACCCCCCGTTCGCCGGCCCCCAACGCCCTCGTCCACACGGCCTCCGACTCACCCACGGCCGAACAACATCAAACACTTGCAACATGAATGCAACATAAGATTGAAAACAGATGAAACATGCACTTGCAACATGTATGTGAGACACATGAAACATCAAAATAAAACACCTGCAACTTGAAATATAAAACCACTTGCTACAATATAAACTGAAATAGCTGAAACATTTTGGAACATGTTGTTGCAAAATATGTGTGAAATATAAACATCCAGATCAAAACGATTGCAACATACATCTAGAAATAAATAAAACATTTTGAACAAACGCTTGCAAACATTTATCTGAAACACTTGCAATGTATGTAACATTCCCCGATCTACTTTTGCAACATCAAAATAAAATAATTGTAATACATTTTAAACGTCTGAAACACTTGAAACATACATATCCAAGATAAAAAGAGGGAAGGCTGGGCCGGTCGATTTCGTCTGTCGGTGTGAGAGCTGGCGGTGAGCCACAGTGCGCGAGCCCCACTAGCACCAGCCATGCTCGTGGGTGCCCTTGGCTTGGTCGGGGAAGACCTAAGGCGCCACGGTACATGCACCCCAGTGCCCGTGCGTGGGGTTAGCGGCGCGACTGACGGCGATGGACGACGAACGAACGGCGAGGGAGCAAGCAATGTAGGTGAGGCTATAGCGGCGCTATAGCGGCCGGAGAGATTCGATACTACGCTATTGCTCTTTATGCCGCTATGCCAACTTTGACCGCTGTTGCGAGCTATTTCGCCGTTAAGTTACATAGCTTTAGCGTTAAAATAGTGGCACTTTTCATATTTACCTACTTATCATCTGCTTACTAATTTAATTAGTTATTTTCTACTTATAATTTGCTACTAATTTGGTATTTTGAACAATTAAACACTGGAGTTTCACGAACCATGTTGTAATGTCATATTGGTAATGTTACCTAGACTTGTGGAATCTTAGAAATATATTTGCGTTTTCGTATTTGACATGTTTTTTCATCAATTACCGGTGTTTTTTATGCTTATTTTATAAAAACGCCATAGTGCAACTATAGCTTGGTAGCTGCTGGAAAAAAGTTGCCGCTATTTTCGATATTATTTTGAACTATGCCTTCGAGGCCATGCGACCGGATCAAAGCCATGACAGACAGAGTTCTAGTCCAAAGGCGCAACGCGCAAGCCGTCCAATCGCCTCCGGCTCCGGGGAAACAGAAACAGGAGAGCGACGACTTGTACAGTAGACGGGATCGGATTCTGGAGGAGTGGAGGCTTGTTGCGTTTGGCGATGGCTGCGCAGGGAAGGAACGCAGACGTCCTCGCGCTCTTCGACGTCGACGACACCCTCACCGCGCCCCGCAAGGTCCCGCGAGTTTCCCTGGAATCCCTGGCGTTTTTAGTTTGCGAATTAACCCCGCGCCGCGCATGAATCTTCTCCTTCTCCTTCTTCTTCTATTGGTCAGCCGGTGACGCCGGAGATGCTGGAGTTCATGATACAGCTGCGACAGGTGACAGCTGAGACATCTCTCTCACCAACCCTCTTACACTGCTGCGCATGCACAATCTGCGTTATGATTTTGATTTTGGGAGCAGCACGTGACTCTTGGCGTGGTGGGTGGATCTGATCTGGTCAAGATTACCGAGCAGCTCGGCAAATCAGGTCTGGAACCGGCCTATACAATCAAGTTAGTTGCTCCTCTCTGTTCGTCACTGCAGTTTTTACATTGTTGATGAGCTTGCGTTCAATTCCTCTCGTTGCAGTTTTTACTGATTACGATTACGTCTTCTCTGAAAATGGCCTGGTTGCACACAAGAACGGAGAGCTAATTGGAACTCAAGTAAGTTTGCGTGCACCTTATCTCTACTGTACTTATATGTATCGGTCAACCCTGAATTTCAGACCATCAAATTTAGTATCAACAAGGAAGTAGTAGTGTAGTATAATTAATGAGGTAGAACTGAGACTGACCAGGCAAAGGAAAATCATGTTGTTGGCGAATATTAGGCTTGGATGTGAATCATTTTAGTAATACTCAAAGCTTGCATGACCAGGCAAAGCAAAATCATGTTCTACGGGCATTGTTGAATGCCTGCTTGAGCTAACACTGACAACTAACACAAACCAAAGTTTTTACTGTGCCTGCTACTCTACTAGAATTAAATATCTGACTCCTTTAGGCTCTCACACTGACCAACCTATTGTTTTGCACTCTGCAGAGTTTGAAATCATTTCTCGGAGAAGACAAGCTGAAGGTGAGTCTAGGTGGCAGCATATTCGCTTTCTTGCACTGCCCAACCGATAAAATCTCAGGCATCTGCTGAAGATGATGTGTTCTTTCCAGGAAATTATCAACTTCACTCTTCACTACATTGCTGACTTGGATATCCCAATTAAAAGGTCAGTGATTAGAATAATTCTGGTTTGCACTACCTTATATTGTCCTATTAGTCATCACTGATTATGATTATTGTCTCAGGGGTACATTCATAGAGGTCCGAAATGGGATGGTTAACGTGTCTCCTATAGGGAGAAATTGCACTCAGGAGGAGCGTGATGAATTTGAGAAGTACGATAAGGTATAGTATAAATCATCACCTACTAAACATTAGTAACCTTGTCTAGTTGGACATGGAATGGTATCATTCAAATAAATTTCCTCCAGGTGCATAACATCCGGCCTAAGATGGTGTCCGTGCTTCGTGAAAGGTTTACACACTTGAACCTGACATTTTCTATCGGTGGACAGATTAGTTTTGATGTCAGTCTCTAAGACTTGTGCCACATTTTCCAGAAAATATTAGGCTTCATGGTATTTACTATTTCCACACTAAATGCCAGGTATTTCCCCAAGGCTGGGACAAAACTTACTGCTTGAGATATCTTGAGGAATTTCAGGAAATCCATTTCTTTGGGGATAAGACTTACAAGGTGGTATATTTACTTTATTTACTCTTGCTTGTGTCTTGTATGGTCTATATATGGTGTGTGTGTGTGTGTTGATATGTTTGTTTCCAAGCCACCGATGCAGGAATTCTATTTTCTTGCTAGTAGACACGAGCACAATCATAGCATGGCCAATCTTTGCTAATTCATCTGATTAATTTAATCTATGATTTAACAGGGTGGCAATGATTATGAGATTTTTGTATCTGACAGAACAGTTGGGCATACAGGTATATGCTGGTTGCATGGCAAAAGCTCATATTTTGATGCTTATGAATTTACAATGTCACCTGACAAAATTGGACATAACTTAGGGTGGAATTTTTCCAATGTGTTTCTTGCGTCTTGCCTAAATGGCAGAACTCTCGCCAATTTTATTCAATTTTTTTCTTGTGTGTTTCTTATTCCCTCCAATCACAAATACATGATGTTTAGAGGTTCAACCAATCTAAACTTTAGTTGCATATTACTTATGTGTTTGAGTTTGGATATTTGAATAATATGAGTGGATTTGTCTCAAAATGTAGTTTTAAAATTATGCTTTTGCTTTTGCTTTTGCTTTTGTTTTCTAAATACCATTGTGTTCTCTAAAAAACCATTGTGTTTTGGGGATCATGTGGGATTAAAAATGTCGCATATTTGTGAGGGACTAGTAAAATTTCTCTAAAAAGAGGGGGGTGGGGGAGAACATCACTACAAATTACAAAATCATATTAATCATATTTCAAGTACTCAACTAGACAGGTTATTGGCCTGCTTGGATGTGAATCATTTTAGTAGTACTGAAGCTTGCAAAATCCAATTAGTTGCTATGCTCTCTAGTGAATAGTGATGTGCTGGTCAAACTTGTGGGCAAATTTTCCATTACTGAAATGTGACTCGTATGAAATTTTGTTTGCGAAAATTATACCTCTTTTATTTATCATACTAGTAGTCGCATCGCAATTGACATTCACTGCTGATTCAGTCATTTTTATTTGCAGTTACCAGTCCTGATGACACATTACAACAATGCAGAGATCTCTTCATGTCGAAGTGATCTCCATCTTATTGTGCCACTTATTTATATGCCTTGTAGACAGTGGCGGACCCAGGATCTGAGACCAGGGTAGTCCTGGTAAAATAATTTCATGTGTAATACTATAAAATCCAAATAAAAAGTTTGGCAAACATAGCTATAAATTAACCAAATTACGATAATACATTTAAAATGTTCAAAACTTACATAAATACTCCCTCCATACTGGTAAAGAAAGTCGTTTAGGATATGATTTAGCATACCCAGGAGTGATTAATTAAGGGGTATTTTTCCCTGTTTTCTTTTATTAAATAAGGTTGCGGGTATTGCCTATCCAATAAACTTTCGTGGCTGGACTAGTAAGCGTGTTGCAGCCCGAGGCACGAGGTCTCCGGTTCGATCCCTCTCGGGTGCGTTATTTTTTTGAAGAGCTCGTGGATTTGCGGTGTCTTCGGCCTAGACTAAGATGAGAGTGACCGTGGACCAGTTTCTGAAAAGTAGTAATAGAATTTTGGGCCAAATTTGTGGGTAGTCCTGGACCTACCCATGCTACCTGCTGGGTCCGCCACTGCTTGTAGATATTTCTGTGAACATTTTTTTTTGCATTTTTACAGCGACTATATGCCACAATTTTTTTGCTTCGAAGTTCAAACAAATTGTACTTACTCCACATTGCCAAATTTTATGTTCTGAGTACAATTGGCGACTATAAGTGAAGAATTCACACCCTTTGCTATTGTCTGCTAAATTTCACAAGTTATCGGTGTGTAAGGCGTTAGGGAAGGAAAAAAGTAACTACGTAACCGCAGGCGCATTCGCTTCTGCTGAAAGCTGGCTGTTTCAGGTTCCAGCTGCTTCAAATGCGGTGGCCTGAACCTATCAGCCAGTTATTTACATGGAAGCAAATAGAACTAACTCTGTGATCCTTGGCTGAGACCGTTTGTAGTCATGCAATGCTCAACCCAAAAAAAAAGACATGATTTTTAAAAAAAAAACAAAAAAAAGACTGAACAGATGTTGCTCACACTGACACACAACGGCACCATTATGTTGGTAACAACCTTGCCATTGAGAAGCGATGTCATTATCCTTTAATCTTTCGGATGCAAGCATGAAGCATGTATACCTTGTTCTAGCATTGCAGGTACTTACACTTCATTTCCAGAATCCACTGTTAATAATTACTCACTGCTGCGCTGTAACAAAAAGTGATCAAAGAAAAAGAGAGAAAAGAAACAAAATAAAAGAAGCTATCGATGATTAAGTGAGCAACCCAGAGCAGAAGCCGAGACTCGAGAGGAGTGTTCATCAGGGCAGGTAATGCGTGAGGGCGTAGGCGACGGTAGATCCGTAGAAGAGAAGCCCACCGACGACGAGCGCAGAGAGCGCGAAGGTGGCGCCGACGGCGAGCGGGATGCCGCAGGAGAGGATGCCGAACTTGAGCTGGATGGCGTCGACCATGGACAGGAGCAAGAAGAAGGTGCCCATGATGGAGCACCCAGCAGCGAGCAGCATCATCGGCTGCGCGAACCTGAGCACGGCGCGGCGCCGCTCCCGTGGCCCCGCGGCGCGCCACGCCGGCATCTCCTCGCAGTCGTCGGACGGCGCGGGCTTCTGGGCGTCGCCGTCGCCGTAGAAGTTGTCGGAGGCTAGCAGCGTGATGGTCAGCTTCATCCCCTGCGCCACGAGGCTGGACAGGAGGTAGAAGCCGAAGGAGAGGATCTCGAAGAGGAAGAAGTTGCGCGCGATGTCGTCCCCCGCCACGCAGGCCGGAGGGATGGTGGAGGACGGGGTGATGGTGCCCGTGATGCCGATGAACACCGCCACCGTGAAGAAGGTGTTGGCTGACACGATCCCCTCCAGTGCCTTCACGGGCAGTTCCGGGTTGCGCCGCCGTAGCGTCGGCATTATTGCTGGTTGTGGTTGCTGCTTGTTTCTTCTTCTTCTTCCGGTGGCCAGCCGGCCGGTGGCTCTCCTTGATCGATCCCTGGCCGCGCTCGCGCTGTGGGGGGATGGAGAGGCCGGGTCGATGAGAGTGGCTACTAACTATAACTATAACTACCAGTATGCCGTTACTGCTAGCGAGCGAGTGATGGGGGCTGGCTGACGCTGCAAGTTTCTTGTCAATGATGATAGCAAAGGTTGTTGAGGAACAATGCAAGAACGATCCTCTTCTGAGGTGGGGTAACAACTCTGAATAAAGAAAGCAATGCAGTACTGGAGTTGGTATTGATCGAGAATCATGTAGGCATGCAGCACAGGGATCTGTGTTTTCTAGACAAGAGCTAGCTTTTATTACACAATAGCAAATTCCCCTGTTTGATAGATGCCCACACGTTTGCATTTCGTAGCCCCTGTGGAAGTCAGATCAGATTCAACCAAGCTCGACCGTGAATCACACGCCTCCTCCTCGCATAAACGTGCCGTCCAGGTCCAGTGCTAGAACAATACGTGATCCATACTTAAAGCGGCTGCAGGGATCGGAACGTAGTGCAGGTAGCTCGCTAGCTAGCTTTCCGGTGCGGCAAGGCAAACCTGAAAGGCGCGGCGGCGGCGCAGATGATCCAATTCATCAGGTCGAGGAGGAGAAGATGATGCATGATGGATCATCATTGGATGGATGGATGTGGCGTCGACCCCAGCAGCCAGCAGCTAGCACCACCATGGGTTTTGATAGCTCCTTGTCAACCACCGGTAGGTAGGTGCGCACTTGGTTCCCTTCCCAGTGTAGCAGACTGCAGACGGCTAGTGAGTGAGTTGTTATGCCCATGGCGTACTGGTTGTCCAGTAGCAATCCAAAGCATAGGAGAATGGAATTTTCATTGGTCCTGAAATCATGTATGATTAATTAATTGGTCCCTCTTCCTCCCACTGCAGTACAGCGCAGTTACTCAACAAGGTGCGTTGTGGAAACGGTAACGCTGGAAGCAGGCGTCCGTCCGTCCGGATGCTCCGTCGGTGGACTGCGCAACGTGAGCCCAACCCACCCAACCCCCCTCCTCCGTTTCTAAATAAAAACAATCCACTCGTCCATGTATACTTGCTCCTATCCACTCGTCTGCCGTCTCCAGCGCTTAGCTGCTGGCCTAGCCATGTGCGGTGCGAGACCGCCTCCGAGGCGTAGCGCTCGGTCGTTGGCCCTGCCAGGTGCGCGCGCGGCGCGCGGTCACCTCTGAGTCGCGATGCTCAGCTGCCAGACCTGCCAGGCACGACGCGTGGCTGCCTCTCCCAGTCGTGCGGGCGCTGCCTCCCCACCACGTCATGCAACCGCCGCCGGCGACCCGCTGCCTACAAGCATCGCTAGGCTGCTGGCTCTGGTGAACTTAACACGTCGACGAGTCTTCATTCTCTCAAGCAAGAAGGAGATGTTGCACTGAAAGCACATGTTGCAAGCATACGTTTCAATTGTTTTATATATTTCAAAGTTATGTCACAAGTGTTTTATATGGATATTGCAAAAGTATATCAGGATGTTACATATGTTGCAGTGGTTGTACATGTATGTTGCAAGCATCTGTTCCAAATGTTTCATCTGTTTTTTTTTCAAATGTATGTTGCAAATGTGTTTCTTTGGATGTTGCATATGTTTCACTCATATGTTCCAAGTGTTTTATGTGGATGTTGCATATGCTTTGCACTGATTTTTTCAAGTTTTTTCATGTGTTTTTTCAAGTGTGTTTCTTCAAGTGTTTCAGACGCATATTTTAAGTGTTTCATCTGTCTTCAGATACATGTTACAAATATTTCATCTGGATATTTTAAAAGTAGATCGAGTGCTGCTGCTGGGGACTCACCTTCCGCAGCCGCCTGCTGCGGGGCGCTGCTAATGTCTAGGCGGGGAAGCGGAGGGGGCACGAGCCGTCCCCGTGTGGGGTCAGCTACGAGGGTGACGTCGAGGGGCGCGGGCCCTCGTGGACGCGCGAAACGGTGTGCATGCGCGGGTGTTCGGACACACGCGCTCCTCCCGACGTCTAGACGCTAACACTGTTGCTGCGGAAAATGTGGTACATCGACTAATTAAGCACCTTCTGAGGGAGATGCTTCCTAGCATGCATGTTGTATATACACATCATTTACCTACACATGAACACTACGTGCTGCTGTTATCTTCTTCAATCTCCACTCTCCATGGCATAACTGCAAGAATGGACCAAATTACAATACCTAGTGTACTATAATTGGATATTTGGATGAAATGCTTTATGTTTCCTATCTTCATTTCTGTTCGAAATAGTACATAAGGATCAGTTGACTTTTTTGGGGGTACATTGAATAGGCTTCAGCGACAGTTCACAGCCATCCTGAATCCGCGTCTGAATATGAAACTCCATATATAGCTCCTAGAATCTGCCTGCATAAGGTACGGCTTTCCAATCCGCGCCTGCCACGTTGCCATGCTGTGCTCGCGATTGCTGGTCTTCCAATTCATCCCTCCGTTTGGGCCTTTTCTGAACCGTTCTGCCCGGTCACGTCCAGGCGACGCGGTTGGCTGCCTCTCTCTCCATCTATCCTCGCCTCCTCCGCTCTCGGACTGCGCCGCCCGCCACCACCGTGCCCATACCCACCTGCTTCTACTCAACACCCGGCGGCGGTCTGGCTCCAGAGGCCCGCGGTGGCGAAGCGGCTGGAACGACGAGGAGGCGGCCACGCGTGCGTCACGGACCTCGAGGCCGAGGTCCACAACGGGGTGGCGCGCTTGTCTGCGGCGGCCGTACCACGCGCTGGAGAGGTCACGGCGTCACGCACACCTGCTCCCATGTTGGACCGTGCCACCAGACCTACACCACGCCTCCTTATCTTCACAGTAGCTGGCCTTCGAATTCCCGGCGACAAGTTGTGCAGTAGTGCCGGTGGTCTCCAGTTAAAGAAGTAAGCGACTTGCTCATGATGCACACCAACTGTTTGTTAAAATGCCTTCCGAAATCTCTCATTGCTATCCCTAATTTCTTGAGGATCTAATAAATTTCAGCAGGGGCCGTGTCAGTGCCATCAGGAATGTAGTATTCAGATTCTACTAGGGCTATAGTCCTACTGAAGAATTTTGAAAGCCTGACATGGCTGTTTTGGTTCTGCATTTTAGGATGCCAGAAATTCTAAGAGGTCAACAATCAGGTTTCAACACCTATCGATGTTTCTTCCATTGATGAATATTATAGATCGAATTCAGATTTCTACATAAGCACATGTAGGCCACCACATTTTTTTTTCTTCACATTAGTTCTCTACCGCTAATGTAACTATTTTTAGTATGTCAAAACTATCGCGACCTACTTTAGTTGATTTAGTGCCTACTGTTTACAGACTTCGCATGAAATCAGGTGAGCTAGCTTTTGGGAGGAGAATTTTTTGCCGTGCAATTCCAGGGCATTATTGGGATTGATTCATTCCAGCTTAGCAACCACCACATTAGTTCCCTAGGGCATTCTACTCCATATATATGCCTAGATCTCATTGAGCAGTCAGCACCATATGTGGATTCAAAGCAATTGAAAGAGGATCGCTATGATCAATATTTTTTCCTTTATTATTTTGGGTTGTTACTTTTTTCTTGCAGTTATTTAATAGAGACCACATCATCTATTTGGCTGTTTCAAGGTACTACAGGAGGATGAATATGGTAGAAATGATTGACGATCTCAAACAGGCATTTCGAGCAACAGGGGGTAAGGCTCACCAATCTCCAAAGAGTAATATTCTTTTTTGCTATTGGGCATACCATGTGTTATGCTACCTTGTGATATAGAATCTTTTGCATTTTTTATTTGAACCAGCTTCCCTGTTATGTTACCTTGTGATATAAATTATTTCTCGGGGCTCAAATTGAGAGCTTCCGAGTTCCGACCGCTGGTGCCGTACTGTCTCCTGCACAAGCTACAGCACCCAAGAACATTGCGCCTTTGGTGCTGCTGCATGCTGCCGCTACCCACTAAGTTGTCCACGGGCAGAATCTCGATCGGCCTCTGGTTGTGGCTATAACCAGACCTCTCTTCCATGAAGTTGAGCTCAGAAACTTTCGAAGTTTCTTCCGATTCCTTGCATTGATTACCTAAGACAGAGCTGCTTGGTTGTGGGATGAAATCTGAATGTATTGTTCAATTCGGTACAAGATTTCGTTTGCTGCAATATTAATCTTATCGATCCATCCATGGTTCTGCTTCTATGTTCTAACACATGGTGAGTGTGCACCTAATCAAATATCAGTCGGTTTGATGTGTAACTAATCTCATCTGAGTTTTAGACACACTAATTGTTAGCTTTTGCCTACTGGTCGATCCACAAACTATGCCACTTTATGAACCACAGATAGCTCATGTTCAGAAAAACATCATTTATCAGGTGCATAATCATATTGCGCTTGCCGAAAAAGCAGAACATTCCTATTTCAATTTAAAGGCTGGGTACAATGAGGTAATAATATTAACATTGCTAATTTCGCGGTTGGATGACTATTGTTACTTATTTTCTAATTAGTCTCCTGGTTTTCTAATAAGGACTTCAGCATCTATAGATGCTAAGGAAATAAAAATGATAATTTGATTTTGTTTCTTCTATATTTTTTGTTCATATACAAAAGCTGTAAGACTCTGTTGTCTTCAATCATCAGTACATGCTTGCTAGCACAAACTGTGTAGATTTTCCGGTGCCATATTGAAGCCCCTAACAAGCCTTATACCTCCTCTCAGCATCATTCCTCCTTCATCTTGCCTTCTTGATTTTGACCCCTAACACTGAAACTTATTACAAATTATGAGCATTTCACTATGATAAGTATGAAGGGCGGGCCTGGTGCAAGCGATAGAGTCTTACCGCCCGTGACCGGAAGGTCCCGGGTTCGAGTCGCGGTCTCCTTGCATTGCATAGGCGAGGGTAAGGCTTGCCACTGACACCCTTTCCCAGACCCCGCACAGAGCGGGAGCCCTCTGCACTGGGTACGCCCTTTCACTATGATAAGTACAGTCCTGTTGGGTTTACTCTGCTAGATGCCACATGCATTTCCAGTTTTGCAAATAAAACCGCTAGAGACTCATGTTGTTCATATACGGCTATCATGGCGTGTTTAAAATACTAAGTTGCTTGAGTACTTGGTCATGGCCGTTTTCTGATTTCTAATATTGCGTTTAAATTGGCTTAACTATATAATTAGTTCAGTTAAGCATCTGCAAGTTTATCCATCCTTTTACTCATGCTATTTGATAATATTAATGTTTATTTAGTTGTGACAGTAGAGATTTTTCTAGAACCTTTTCCTTTTAGTTTGTTCTTCTATGTGATATATTTTCCTACCTACTTTTTACTTTTTAGTATTTATTGGTTAGACAGTAGAACAAAATTTTCAATATTTTTGGTTAGATTGGATTAAAATGTTGCATTATGAGGCTTCGAATTAAATAAGTTGTATTGCCGTTTGTTCATTGTTCTTGCGAGGGAGGTTAACTTCAGATGGCAATGCTCTTATTCTTCTTCACCTAATCTATATTGGAGAGAGGTTGATGTTCCAACTGGTACTTGCTGCGGGGACAAAAAATGGTTCCATTCTGGAGAAATAATTGCAATCCGGTTGACACATTGATTGCTTCAGTTATAGGCATGTGTGGTTTTCTGCCTTCAGAGATGACAAGGCTATACAACACGCAATGTGAGCGACACCTCACTGCTTCTCTTGAAGCACTCCAAAAGATGGAGTCTATCTTTTTAGGTTGGTCAGTGTTTTATTCGGCTTCTTAGTTCTTTGTGCTTACATATGCATCTTCTATACTTAAGTATGTTCACAAACAGATCTTTGGCATTCAGCCTTCAGCTGATCCTCAGGTCCATGGTGAAGGTTCCTCCAGTGCAAAACCAACTAATAACACCAAAGAGGTCAGTATCTCTACTCACTAACTAGGCCTCTACATCTAAAAAAATTGATATAGCTTTTCCATAGGTTTAAATCATTAGAACATAGGTTTAAATAGTTGGAGTTTTGCTGATGAGCATGACAAACGCTTTTGTGTTGTCAAAGCTACACGTCATCTGTAGCAACTTTGACCTTAGTGTTGCAGGGTGGAGCCATGCAAGCTTGGTTGTACTTGCATCCATTGCATGGATGAATCTTACTGACGTGTCCTCTCATTCTACCAAAAGCGAAGGACCGTATATTTTTATTAAATAATGTATTATCATGTTGTGCACATTCATGTAAACAACAATTATGAGATTCTACTTCCAAATTCTTTGTCAAAATAGAAGTTCAACTGCTGCTAATTATTTACTTCTTCATTTGTATGGTCAGTTGATGCTAATTGTTTTCTCCGGCATTTGTGTCTATTTATTGTTTAGCATAACAACTCTGATAGTGCTATATACCTTATTTACCATCTAAGTCATTATTTGTTTTTTTTCGCAATATAATCTCCTAGCAACTGGTCTAAATTATGTCTAAAGTGAGACGGTCCCTGTTCAAAGCAACCAGAATTGCTCTCATATGCATTAAAGAATCCGGGCGCGGCGAAGCGCGCCTACTGACCTAGTTCTTCAAATAAGGCACTTGTGATATCACAAGCCCATGTCATTACAATTTCAGAATTCAGAGCTCTGGATTGAATTTTGGGCTTTTTTTTTTTATAAATCAACGGGAGGGGAGAGAATCCCCCACCTGGATGATATATTGATGATCGGCTCTTAAATAGCCTTTTGATTACAAATACAATTTTGAGTTTGCTGGTGCTAAGAGTACAATGCGCTAGCTATTACAAAGCACCAAAAGAAGCGAAATGTCAAAGTTCCTGTTATCTTGCGGTAGACGAGCACCCCATAGGTAAGCTTCATGTTTGGGAGTGGTGGTTCACTGACAGCACCACAACCAAGAGGCTCAATTCCACGACCTCCACTCCAACGGCGACTGTTAAGCTTCGAGTCGATTATATTGTCTTAGAAGCACATCCAGGACCCAATTGATGCCTGCCAACGCCCAGCGAGGGGAGGAATCCTCAACGGAGGGAGGGCTGGCAAGAAGGAGCACGAGGAGATCCAAGAGAGGGGACCATGGTCTCGTTACCGGCATTTGATGAAACAAGGCAACTAAGGATCTTGGAGAAAGGCAGAGCTAGGCCACTGGAAGTGAAGCATGACAGTTAGAACTTGTGCAAAACATTAGGAAGAAAGGGTTGGAACTGAGGTGGGGTTCTGAGAAGTGCACATCATGTCATTGTGCACCAGCAAACAACACTCTCAAGTGATAATACTCTGATGACCTCCAATCCCCAAGCAACTGTTAAGCTTTGAGCCAAGAAGGCAGACGACAGTCGTGATTTGCACTGTCTTGAAGCACTTTCAGGATCCAGTCGACACCCGCTAACGCCCATCAAGGGAAGGAAGCCTCGAAGGAGGGAGGGATGACAAAAGGAGAATGCGGAGATCCAAGAGAGGGGATCATGGTCCCACTAACCCAGCATTTGGTGAGACAAGGCAATCAAGGTTCAAGGATGATGGTGGAGTAGCTACACTGAAAGCGATATTTTGGGCACCACGAACAAATACTGGCCATACCTGAGGCTGACAAGGAGCCCCACCTCCAACTTGAGGAGCCCCTGGAGAGGTCGCCACCCCGACGACATGCAGCACCAGCGATAGGCCTAGCGCGACGGCGAGGTTCTTCAGCGACGCCTTCAAGAAGGAAATCGTCATCGCTGGCCCAACCAAGAGCTGGGTTGAGCTTTCGCTCAGAACCATGTAAGTGCTCCTGCAGCTGCCGCCCCGACGCCGCCACCGCCACCACGGGCGCAGGCATGGGCGACATCACCACTTTGAAGAACCGGTGCTCTGCTCTCCCTGGCAGGGGGAGTGCGCCCACGGACACGCAGCCCCGCCGCCAGCTCGCCCGCGGCCAAACTACGCGCACCATGCCCGCACGCGAAGAAGAAACCACCTACAGGCACCCAGCCCCGCCACTAGCATGCCCGCGGCCAAACCGCGCGCCAAGGGTCCCAACTCGCGCGCAAGAAGAAGAGCACCGTAGAATAGAGTGGCACCACCAGATCCTGACGTGAGGCAGAGAATCCGGCGGAATGGAAATTTCGACGATGCCTCCAAGGAGGAAGATGATGCAGGCTGCGACACCGTCGCCAGCCCGGAGCTAAGTCCGGGCAGGGCTTACGCCCAATTTCCAATCCATCACAGTAGCTACACGAAGCACACAAGGCGCGGCCACGCACGCGGCGCTCTGCACGTAGCGGTCCACATGCCTCCACCATCGGTCAGCTCGGCCCGACAGGCCTGGACGATGGCTACAGCGTCCGGCGCGGCCATGCGGCCAACAACAGCGGCCGGGCACGCACCAGGAGCCTTGCAGCTAGCGCCCGGTGGCCGGCGACCCCGCTCACAGGCCACCGCCTGCGGCTAGCCGAGGCCGGCGGGCCTCGACGACGCAGCAGCGGCCGACGACCATGGAGGTCCACCCCGGCGGTTGCACCCGCGACCCAGGCCCAAGTTTGACGAGGACAGCGGCGGGCGACACCCATGGTGGCTGTGGAGGCCCTCTACGGCCAGAGTTTGTGAAGTCGCACACGGCCCTGCCTGGCCACGACAAGAAAACACTCGCCGACCATAGATCCGGGCCCTGGGGGGCGGATCTGGGCTAAGGAGCCCCAGATCCGCGGCCATCGCAAGCAGCCTGACCACCGAGCTCACGGCGTCCATCTGCAGGAACAGGGAGAAGAGTCGAAGAAGGGGGGGAGGAAGAGGGTGCGACCACGGTTCTTTTTTCGGCAGTGGCGCAGGTCGTCACTGCCGCACACGAAGCAGCAGCAACAACGGCCGGAGGTAGGGGGGGGGGCTTGGGCGGCGGTGGTGGTGTCGCCCCTCCCGTCGCCCTGAGAGGCGATGCGGAGGGGTACGCGGTTTCTCCCAATTTTGGACTTATACTCACAAGTGCCTTATTTGAAGTATGCATGCGTGACAACTTTCTATTGAAACTTGCTTAGCACGTGTTTCGTTAAGTAGGGGTTAGAATGAAATTATACGCCCAACATCACTTCACGGCGAGATGCCATTGGTGATTAGGTTAACAGGAACATAAGGCACCGCTAGACGGTTGCATGCGTGACAACCATGCATCCTTGTATTAAAGTAGGCGGAAAGAAGACAAAAGCTAACCCATCCATATTATAAAAGATATGTCTAAACTAACAAAGCACTGCCACAAATAGATTTACGAGAACAATGTTAAATTCAACGACCTATACAACATGCTGTTTGAAAAAAAAAGATTGCTTAGTTAATTATTAATTGATCTACCTCGAACAAATTAGAACGGCGAAGCAAGCATTGTTGCACTTCGCGTGAAGGAACCTGACACTGAAAACTTCAAGATCTATCGCCTCCAAACCAAATCATAAAGCAAGCGCATTAGCTAGCTAACTGTTGACAATGCATGACGATTGACGAATTCATTTTTTGCTTGTATTGTAGTGCCCATTGATTGATCAAACTAAAAACCAAGCGTGGCAAAGGCGATTTGGCCAAGCTAAGCATTTGGGACGAGCTATCTGCTAGCGGGGTCGATTCTAACGACCATTCTCATAATCTCATCTGCGGTCTGCCTAATCACAGGTGGCAGGCACTCCACTAGCTGTTTGACTTTGACGAGCTGCCGATGTTGACATTTCCCCCACGTGCCCGGCAGATTCAGTTGCGTCTCATGGATGACTGAAGAACCAGTCGCTATAAAATGGAGCAGCCCCGTTCTGATGCATCTATGCTATCCGCCAATCTCATCCTGTCCTCCATCGATCACAAGATGCCATGCTCTAATCGTATGACCACCGGTGCAACGCACAAGCTTGTCCTGCTGCTCGTAGTCGTCGTCGTCGTCGCAGCAGCCATCTCGGTCGTCGCCGCGGCGGCGCACGTCGACTCCTTCAGCTACCCGGCCTTCGACGCCACCACGACGCAGGACCTGGTGGCGGGCACCAACACCTCCGTCCTCACGTCAGCCTCCCTCCTCTTCGACCACGACGGCGCCTTCGCCGAGTTCAACCACACCGAGGGCTTCCTGCTGCTCTCGCGCACCGTCGACATCTGGCGCTCCGGCCCCGACGGCGGGGTCCCCGCCTTCGAGGCCTCCTTCAATACCAGCTTCGCGCTGAGCGGCGGCGCCGCCGCACCCGTTGCGTTCGTCGTCCTCAAGGACAGCTACCCGCCGCTGTACGGCAGGGGCGGGCTCCGCGGCTTCGCCAACTACAGCGCGTCCGACGCCGCGGATGGCGCCACCCCCCGCAACGCTTCCGGCAGCCTCGCGTCCGTCGAGGTCGGCCCGGTGCGGTCGTATGGCCCGGACAACCCCGCCGTCGGCCTCAACGTCACCGTCACGCCCAACGGCACGGTGGCGGCGCGCGCCGTGTGGATAGAGTACGACGCCGCCGGGCACAGGCTGTCCGTGTACGTCGCCGGCGCAGGGGAGGCGAGGCCGGCCGTGGCTCTCCTCGACGCGCGCCTCGGCCTCGCTGGACAGCGCACCACCGAGAAAGCGATGGTCGGCTTCTTCGCTAGCACCATCCAAGACATTCTCGTCGGCGTACGTGGCTGGAACCTGACGGTGGACAGGTTTGACAGTTCCGGGGGTGGCGGGAGAAAGAAGGGTGCCGCATGGTGGGTGATACTGCTCGCGGTGCTCGGGTCAGTGGCAGCCACGGCCTGACGGCCGCCATCGTCGCCGGCGCCGCGGCGGTGGGCTACTTTGTCCAGTATAGTCACGGCGGCGACGGCAGCACGACACCATGGAACCCAAGATGTAGCCCCTCATTTATTGCCACGTATATAGGCCGCTTGCCCGCTTATGTCAACAAGTTTAGCTCTTTTCGAATCAAAATATCTATGCCTTGATTATTTAGGATTTAATAAAACTTAGGAGTATTAACAAGCTGTTTATGTATTTATTTATTTATTAGATATATGCCCATGTGTTGCACCGGGGTCTTGATTTTTTTAAGAAATCTATAAATCTAATTACATAGATAATAAAACACACTTCATGATTTTTATCACCTATAATATGTGTTGATATGATTAATTAGAAAACTCAATTGAATAAATATTAATCAAATTAATATTTAATCAATAAATTCATAATTAAGGGACACGAAGAACGTTAGCACTGTTGCGTAAAGCTCGACGCTACGAAAGGAACGCAACGCGAACCTCTTTTAACCGAGTTGAAATGAGTAAACGGCGGAGATTTGAAGGCTAGTGGCAAACTCGTAATAAACACCATCTTCTACCTCTGTCCATCCAACCTCCTCACGTGAAGTTAGGGATGAAAACGGATCGGATACGAACAAATATCACTCATATTATATTTGTTTTCATATTTCTGTTCGGATTCGGATTCGGACACGGATAGCGTTCGGATACATATACGAATACGGATTGACTCGGTTACGGATACGAATAATGAGTATCGAATACGGTATGAATCGGATTCGGAGAAGGTCGGATACAAATATCTATTCGGATATTGAGTAAAAGCAGCATATATATATATATATATATCATACGTGCGCAAACCATTACACCATTCTATGAGTTCATAATCCATCTAGATTAAGCAGCATCTAGTTTTAGAAAGTCTGTATGAGATTCAAGAATTTGTGACTAGTGTTTAATAAAACTTTCTCAGATGGGAAAATGAGCTATGTAACAATTGTAGATCTTGCTGAGATGATCAAACTTGGTATTCAGAGTTTTTTCATCTGAGGTCATTTAGTGTCTCATTTGAGCAAGTTTGACCAAGTCAAATTTGGTCAAATGAAAAAACAACACTTTGACTCTAGTATTATGAACTCTAAATGACTTCAAATTGAAAAGTTTTGAATACCAAGTTTGTTCAACTCATCAAGATCTACAATTCTTGTTTTGGTTAACTTTCCATTTGAGATAGTTTGGAAGGTTCAAATTTGTGATTTTTAAATTTCGACATTTACAAACTAGTTTTCGGAACCCTAGATTGTCTCAAATTGAAATGTTTTGAATACCAAATTTGTTCATCTCATCAAGATCTACAATCCTTATATAGGTCATTTTTTCATTTGAGAAAGTTTGAACAAAATATAGTTTAAATTTCACAAGTGTGTGACATAGTTTCAGAAAGTCTATATGAGATTTAAGAATTTGTGACTAGTGTTTGATAAAACTTTCTCAAATGGGAAAATGAGCTATGTACCAATTGTATATCTTGCTGAGACGATCAAACTTGGTATTCAGAGTTTTTTCATCTGAGGTCATTTAGTGTCTCATTTGAGCAAGTTTGACCAAGTCAAATTTGGTCAAATGAAAAAACAACACTTTGACTCTAGTATTATGAACTCTAAATGACTTCAAATTGAAAAGTTTTGAATACCAAGTTTGTTCAACTCATCAATATCTACAATTCTTGTTTTGGTCAACTTTCCATTTGAGATAGTTTGGATGGTTCAAATTTGTGATTTTTAAATTTCGATGCTTACAAACTAGTTTTCAGAACCCTAAATTGTCTCAAATTGAAAAGTTTTGAATACCAAGTTTGTTCAGCTCATCAAGATCTACAATCCTTATATAGGCTATTTTTTCATTTGAGAAATTTTGAACAAAATATAGTTCAAATTTCACAAGTGTGTGACATAGTTTCAGAAAGTCTATATGAGATTTAAGAATTTGTGACTAGTGTTTGATAAAACTTTCTCAAATGGAAAAATGAGCTATGTACCAATTGTATATCTTGCTGAGACGATCAAACTTGGTATTCAAAGTTTTTTCATCTGAGGTCATTTAGTGTCTCTTTTGAGTAAGTTTGACCAAGTCAAATTTGGTCAAATGAAAAAACAACACTTTGACTCTAGTATTATGAACTCTAAATGACTTCAAATTGAAAAGTTTTGAATACCAAGTTTGTTCAAATCATCAAGATCTACAATTGTTGTTTTGGTCAACTTTCCATTTGAGATAGTTTGGAAGGTTCAAATTTGTGATTTTTAAATTTCGATGTTTACAAACTAGTTTTCGGAACCCTAGATTGTCTCAAATTGAAAAGTTTTGAATACCAAATTTGTTCATCTCATCAAGATCTACAATCCTTATATAGTTAATTTTTTCATTTGAGAAAGTTTGAACAAAATATAGTTCAAATTTTACAAGTGTGTGACATAGTTTCAGAAAGTCTATATGAGATTCAAGAATTTGTGACTAGTGTTTGATAAAATTTTCTCAAATAGGAAAATGAGCTATGTAACAATTATAGATCTTGCTGAGATGATCAAACTTGGTATTCAGAGTTTTTTCATCTGAGGTCATTTAGTGTCTCATTTGAGCAAGTTTGACCAAGTCAAATTTGGTCAAATAAAAAAACAACACTTTGACTCTAGTATTATGAACTCTAAATGACTTCAAATTGAAAAGTTTTGAATACCAAGTTTGTTCAACTCATCAAGATCTACAATTGTTGTTTGGGTCAACTTTCCATTTGAGATAGTTTGGATGGTTCAAATTTGTGATTTTTAAATTTTGACGCCTATAAACTAGTTTTCCGTTTGAGAAAGTTTGGACGGTTTAAATTTTGAAGCACTAAATGATTTCAAACGAAAAAGTTGTAAACAACAAAGTTTCATAACTTTTTGAGATCTACAATTTTTATTTTGATCATTTTTCCATCCATGGTCGTTTGAATAATATCCGGATAATATCCGTTTTTAAATATTCGGATATATCTGATACTTAACCGGATTATCCGATATCCGCTGGATATCGATGATATTACATCCGTATTTGATATCCGCCTAAGATATCCGTTTTAGTATCCGTATCCAAAAAAAATTATGGATATTCGAGTAACTATCCAGATAAGTGTTTATATTTATTCGGTCGAACAGACGGTCGAATAAATATCCATACCGTTTTCATCCGTACTTTGAAGTGCATCGGGAAGAACAAAAAGAAAGGGAGGGGACGTGAAGTGCATCGGGAAGAACAAAAAGAAAGGGAGGGGCTCCATCTGGGGCAGGGAGGATGGGATGGCCGGGCTGGTCGGGCTGTGCGGCGACCGGCAACGCCGCCGGCGCTGTGCTGCGCTGGTCCACACGGGGTTGGCTGGCCCTGGCAACGGAAGCGTCTGTCTCGGCCGTCTCGGTGGCGGCGGCGGCTGCCAGCTGTAGAGCAGCGGCGGCGGCGGCCAGGGCAGCGCATAGCCAGTCGCCAGCGACCTGTACCCCGCCAAGAAGATGTATCTGAACGCGAACGAAGGGATTAAGGGCGTGCGGTTCGCGGTGACGGGCTGGCAGGGCTTCGTCGGAGCAGCGATGCATCTACCTCGAGCTACTCCGCCGCGGCACTCGCGAGGTCCGGTCCCTCGACCTCCACACCTCCTCCTGGTCCCAGCAACTCCACAACGTCGGCGTCCGCATCATGCAAGGTTGACCGACTCTGTCGTGTGTCAGCCGTCCATGGCGTGCCTGGCGGGCACGGAGAGGAGTGCTGACTTTGGATTTCTGCTGCGTAGGAACGGTGGCCGGATAGTATAGTCTTTGGTAGTCCGGATAGTATAGTCGCATAGTCGTATAGTATAGTCGTATAGTCTCTGTGACCGTATAATATAAGGTTGACCGACTTTAGAGTTTTTTTTAGGTGCAGAGATTCATCATGCTATGTGCGGTTTGGTTTCATAGAGACTTGGTTTATTATGGAAGGAAGTAATCCATCATCATCTCACTCTTAAAACATTTTTTTTATTTATGGAATAGAATGAGTTTTCTTCATTATCTATTTTCTCACAGGCTAATACTTAGTTATAGTATGAGAAATGGGTCCATTCTAATAAATTTGAGGAAGACTTTTGCATCACCTCATCTAAAATGAGTTGATTCCCCAAACCAAATACTCTAAGAAAATAAGGTTATTGATTTTTCCAAAGATTTAACCGAAATAAAAAAAAGAAAAAAAATATAAAACAGCCTTGTAAACCGTTTATAACCGGTCAGGGAGGTAAAACAAATGATTTTAAAAGTTCAGGGAGAGCAAAATCAGACTTTCGCAAAAATTAAGGAAAGTAGTGTGGACCTTTTCCCTGTTCATTCGAGCAGCAATATATTGATGCAACATTAGTTAGGCCTAGTGGGGATCCATGGGCCATAATATTTCTGTCAGACGGAGGGAGGCCCAGTTTTATTTCTACTAGGCTCTGCCCCTGCCTAAGAGAAAGGATGTGATTCTTAGAATGTACTGTTCCTTTGATGTTAAGACACAGTATGGGAGGTTGGTGAAGTTTGTTAGATTGAAAAAAAAATCAGTCTGTTACATCCGTGTTTTCTAGCTATCCGATTTTGTGCAGATTCATTTCCACATGTAGCGAGCACTACAACAATCAATATGCGCGAACGAGCAGCTTTTTCAGGCAGTCAAACAAAATTATTATCGAGGCCAGAGTTCGAAAATACATACAAAATAAACGAATTATCAAGTTCATTTAATTACTTGGAATTTCTTCATCCCTGGGAAAGCAATGTGCTACCTGAGTTTAGTTATATGAGATAGCCAAAGACAGAGCAGAGTACCCCCCAACAAAATGCCCTCTCAACTCCTTATGAGTTAAGAGTCTAGATGTCTCCCTATACAGTCGGTAATTTTTGAAGAATAAATGAGCTGCAATATAGGCATGCGAAGATTGCAATCCCAGCGATAAAATTTTGATATAGACATTTGTTATCCCTGGTGGGGATAAAAGCCTCTTTTAGTATGTTTGTGAGCTTAAACACCCGGTATGATATCTGCAGTATAAGTCATGAAGTGAATATCTTTTTATAATTCTGTCCAAAGAAAGTTACTTTGAAGCTAGAGCTTACCGACAGAAATATCGTTGTAGTAAGTAAAAAGTTAAGCAACGGGTAATCTGGTAAGAAAGATAGAAGCAACTTTGGCTGTCCATTCGGAATGCTAGACCTGTATAAAAGAAACCACTGCTTGGTTCGTGCGAAAACTGAAAATACAACAGAAACTCGAAAGTATTTCAACATTTTCTTTCAGAGATTCAATTTAATAAACTTCTGCTGCTGTGAAAGATCTTAGGCTGTGTATCGTAGTGATCAGAAGCCAGGAGTAACTCAAGATTGTTGTGTCATCATGATGTAATTGTTTTATTTTCAATAAAAGCTTTCTTTATAAAAAAGAGTCAATAAAAAAGTTCGGTCTGGCACATACCTGAGCCAAATGTGAAACTGAGAAATATAACTCTCCATTGTAATTTTGCCAAGCCAACTATGAAAAAAGGGATTAAATATATAGAGATGGAGTGAGCCGAACTATATGAAGCAAATACGAAAACAAATCGGTGAAGATCTAGATATTTTTTTAACCAACTTAGAAAGCTACCAAGAGATAATTTTGTTGCATCTTGAGTTTTAGTTTTGATTGCTCTTGATACCTTTCTAAGGGCCATAAGAAACATAAAAAATTTAAATACTTACACAAAAAGACCCAAATGGGTACTCCTCAACTGCTGGGTGCAATTCCGTAGGCAGACATAAACACTGCAAGAAACATATGTCGTCAATTACAATGAGAAGTTTCTGCCATATGCCATACTGGTTAGGATTTTTTTTTGGTGATAACAATTTGTTATGCATACGTTATAGGAATCCACGACGTGTAGGGATGGTACTTGTTATATGTATGTTTGTCCAACTTGTAGATATATTCATACCACAGATACCCAACCTAGAAGAATAATCAGAAATTGCAGTTAATAATTTTATTAAATATACACATCCTAGTGGGTGCATCAACACTGGCAAGAGAAGATCACGGAACTTACCATTAAGGAAATTGTAACAATGGTTCCTTTGATTAACACTCTCACCTTAGTCTCAGATTCTTCCAACTTCTCCATCCATCTTTCAACCTTATTGTTAGGATAGAAGGTTTTATGTTAGATGAACATGAGGTCAACATGAAACACTTAAATTAGACATACCAAAGGGAACGAGCTGTTTGATGTAACTTTGGATACCTAATACTCGTGAATGCAGTTCAAGGGAAATTTCTCTTTGAAATACTTACGTTGGGGTGAAAGTAAGCATAAAGCATTCCAATGATCCATATGTAACGATCAAGGCCAGAACGGAAATGCCACTCGTGTAACAGGGGTAAGTTTACCTTAGAAGGCTCTGGATTTTTGTAGCCTGAATAAAAAGATCATTTATTTCCAGTCTTCAATTCTTGATCCATGAGAGAAAATGACAATGACATATAAAAAGAAATGCAGTGATACCTTACCAAACACAAATGTAAGTGGTGCCCAAACAATTTCAAATGCCCCAGGAATTTCCCATATCAAAATGACAGTCAAAAAGCAACTGGCAATCTTAATAGCCATGACTGATGGTATCTCGTTGTACTTGTTGAAAACAAATAGTGATCCATATACCATAAGAGTAAACAGGGTATGCATTGGAGCGATATAATACAACATGTAGTCATTGTCAAGGACAATGCAACAGAATATCGCAAAGAAATTTACCCTCCACATCATCTGTATTAAAAGTAAAGTTGTTGATGTTCAGAATTTTAAAGGTGGAGTTACAAAATATCTAGTTTACTCAAATTTATTGTTGTATAAAGAACTAAATTTGAGGTAGAATGGATACCTGAGCAAATCTTGCGATACTGAAATCTTTCTTCTTATAGTAATATGAGAAATTCCCAAAACCAGTCATCCAGACATAGGAAGCAATGAATACACGGATTGCATTGTATATTTCTGAGGCAGCGAAATAGTGGTACATCAGAAATAAGACCTGGAATTGCATATTAAATATTTAGACACTTAAGCAGCCAAAATACAACTGGTGCTATTAAAATGCATTTGATATGTCAACACAATCAGGAGTTTATTGACAATCCCCAGTGATATATATAGATAGCTAAAAATTATACTATCAAAGAGAACTAAAGAAGTGATGTAAGATCATCAACCTGCATCCACCCTCTCCACTCATCAGTTTGGTTGCGATTAAGATACAGAATGGACTTTCCTGTAATTGCTGACTTTTCAGGGTGCTTCTTAAGTGAGGTAATTGTCGATGTGATGATAAGAAGAATGTACAGAAACAGAAACATGTCGCGGTTGTAGCTCTGTCCAAAACAAAACAGGGATGAGCATGTTGGGAACAGGCCACAGTAGATCAGAAAACTTGAGGTCAAAAGGACAGTCTTTATGTATCTTAAACATTCTATAACCACATTCAACCAATGAATATCTGAAACATAGCATAACCACAATTTAACCAATGAAACCTTTGTTACATCTACCTCACTAGATATTCTGCTGAGAGTGTCAATGTCAAGATTAAGTAACAGGAGCGTCTTCAATCTTACCTTCTTGCTTTCTGCAAATATGTTTGTCCGATCACAGGTGTAAAAGTAAACCAGAATAATGCCAAATTCACCTCTGCAAATGACCTAAGGACCATCAGTCATCACATATATATCCAGAACTGCTAGAACAGATGTCCCATTAATTCAACGATCAATCTTACATGGCTCTCAGTATGGCACGGTTTTCAAGAAGAAAGGACTCGTCCAATGTTATAAACCTACACATCACAAGTCACAGCCACAGAGACATCAAGTTCCACAAACTGTGTGTACTATATAGTCCTGATGGGTTATTGTATCAGTAATTTAAATATTTAATCACTACCTTATTAATTTGGCTTTGGCAGACATGTTCGGTGACTTTGTCCATGGCGGTTTCGATTCACCTTCTTCAAGTAGAACTGTTTTGTCATCTTCTTTGATGGTTTTATTACCCACATGAGCATCCGAGTGGCTGCAGATGACGAAACAATAATCCTAGCAAAGTTAGAGCAGCTGTTCTTCATCTTGTTTGTGATGCAACTACTGTAAGATCTGAACAAGAGTTAACACTACGGCTACTAATTCACGGATCTTTTGACTGAAGAGAGATACTGATTCTTCAGTCCCAAATAAAGCTGAGTAAAACCAGGGGCTTCTGCAGAGATATATCTTACACTTTTTCATGAGACGACGATGCCCTGTATCCCAGGAATTCAGAGTAGACCCATGCGGCAAGGACAGAGGAAAGACCGAGCAGAAATGGCACCTGCAAGAAATTAGCAGAACTATGAGTGCTATGAACCTAGCAATTAGTTCACCAATTAAAAGCATCAAACAAGGTTTTTACCAGAAAGGCCATCCTAACTCGTCAAGCTTTGTGCTGCCTGAGTGCCTGGTATGCTCACAGCTTCTATATAGTAGATTATTCCTAGAAATCAGTCATCAGTATCTACCTATCAATGGTGTCAATGTGTTTGATAGGTGGTATCCTTCGTAGAAGGTGAAACTAGGCTGAACAAGCTATAGACGGAATTGATTTATTCAACAGGCACGCCTAAAACTACTACGAGGGTGACGGAGTCAATGAACATCGGTTGCCTTCTAATGAGCCATGACTAATTCTCAAAGACAGAGACAGAGACAGAGACAGAGACAGAGACAGACACATGATTAGCGTTGCAGCCTCTGCCTTTTGTTGTCCGTGGTAGTTACCGAGAACCATTCACGTAGAGCTGTTCAACCATTGACTTTGAGAGAACTAGAGAAGTATAATAAGAGGTTGCAAGCAGCCTAAATGCCGAGATAAAGGAGAGAGGAAATTAGTGAGAAGAGAAACGGGCTGAAACTCTACCAGAGATAAGTGAACCACGTATTAACAGTGAAGATGTAACTATTACATGGATGGGCTAAGAGGTAGACTGCAAGGATTTGTACAGCCAGCAGCTGGTTATATTATTAGCCTTGCTCATGTGTTTGGTAACACATGAATTTGGATCCAAATTCCGAAGACATTATATCAATTGTGGAATCTGGTGAAGCCATAAAGACAGGACCCTCGTGTCGTCTCGTGGTGCGGAAGTGACTCGGGGCCTCGGGGGCTCTGCTGCCGACGGTCAAGAGCCTGCCTCCGGCATGCACACCAGGCCACCGCCATTGCCAGGTGACCAGCGGTGTAGAGACACACACACACACTCCACATTTGTCCCTTGTCAAGGATCTGCTGCCCCTCTCGTGCGCCTTCTCCGTGGAAGGATCCGGCATTCCGGCCCTCTGGTGCCAGATATTTAGTAGCAGTCTCCTCGTGAAAAGATATAAAAAAGCTATAGCAGGCTACAACGAAAGCAATTTTACTCAGCGATTTTATAGAAAACATGGAAATTTTAATTAATTATCATAAAAATATTGAACTAGAATTTTTTATAAACACAAATACTTAATACATATATAAGATCTAGGAGAATAGCAGATTATTTAAAACCATAGTCCAAGTCTATTACTTAACATTCCAAGTCTATTACTTAACATTCATCGAATCAATCAACGTATTCAATACTACGATAATTCAATATTCAACAATTTAATAATTATTTAATAGTTATATTAAGTAAAGAATCCAAAGGAGAGACACTGATGCTCTCTATGTTATAATTACAAGTAGTTTTGACTTTCCTAGATACGTGGTTTTTGTTATGTATTTAGATATACGTTATATCTAGATACATAATAAAAACAGTATATTAAAAAAGTCAAAATGTCTTATAATTTACGTAAATGCTACGCGTTGTGTGTGCGATGGACCGCACAAATGATGGACGACCTTTTCACCCACGCTGCTTGCTCCCGCTCGCATGTATATTAAAAAAACTTATCCCTTCGCTTCCTCCTCCCCATCCTTACCCCTTCCGCGCTCCTCATCCCCTACTGTAGCCCACAAATGCTCGGCGTCCTCCCCTCCCCGGTGTCCTCACCGGGAGCTCCCAATGCCCGCAGATCCGGTGGCCCTCTCCCCTACCCCAGTGAGATCATGGAGCACGAACGAGATCCACTCGCCTCCGACGAGATCCATGGAGGTGACACGACGGCTCTCCCCAACCCCGACGCGGCGTCCTCCCCACCCCGGCGGTGCCCTTTCTCACCCTGATGACCGAGCTCCCCCCACCCAGCGGCCATGGCGCTCCCCACCCCCCATTCCCCACCATCGCCGTCGAGCCAAGCCTAGTGCCGGTGGTGGTGGTGCTCCCGCGCACCGATGTTGATGGTGCTCGCACGCAGCCGCTCGTCGCCGGCTCCCACCCCATCGATCGAAATTGACCGGCCCAGGCCTCTCTCCCCCTATTATGTTGCAAATGTATGTTTCAATTGTTTCGAACGTTTCAGAGGCATGTTGCAATTGTTTCATATGGATGTTGCAAAAGTAGATCGGGGGATGTTGCACATGTTGCATATGTTGCAAGTGTTTCATAGGCATTTTACAAGGGTTTGTTCAAATTATTTCATCTGTTTCTAGACGTATGTTGCAAGCGTTTTGATCTGGATGTTGCATATGTACTCACACATATGTTGCAATAATATGTTCCAAAATGCTTCATCTGTTTCAGTCTTCTGTTGCAGCAAGTATTTTCATGTTGCAAGTTACAAGTGTTCTATCTGGATGTTGCATATGTTTCCATAGATATGTTGCAAGTGTATATTTTAGATGTTTCATCTGTTTCAGATGTATGTTGCATTCAAGTGTTTCATGTTGCATGTGTTTCCTCCTATTCGGAGAGTTAGGGGGCGCCGGGGAATGGGTTGTCGCAAGCAGGTGGCTGGCGGACATGGCGTGTGGCACGCTGGGGGCCGGAGGTCGAGGGCATGACGGGGCAAGGCGAACAGACACTAGAGCAGGACTGGGTTGCAGTCACAGTTGGGAAACCCCACCGGGACTACCAATCCGGGACTAAAGGCCCACCCTTTAGTCCTAGGCCTGCTAACCGGGATTGAATGGGGGCTATTTAGTTCTAGTTACTTATACCAACTGAGACTAAAGGGGCCTCCAGGCCGAGCCCGAGGGCAGGCACCTCCAGTCCCAGTTGGTTATACCAACCGGGACTAAATATTACAATTTTTTTCTTTTCTTTTGTAGTTTCTTTCCATTGAATTTGTTTTCGTTTCAAATAGTTTTCGTACACGTATTATATGCTATACTATTACGTCATCCGATCCATAAATAAGAACTAAACTAATCAAGTAAGAGCTTATATATTACAATATTACAATAATTTAAAACAAGTCATTACAAACTAGATGTCTAACTTAAAATATTCCATACTAGATGTCCAAGTACACCCCAAAGTTCATGCAAACATAAGCGCAGCTAGATCAATGCCTTTGACTTTCTCGTATTATCAACTCGATGAAGTGTAGATCACTGATGTGGTATCCACAAATGTCATTTACGTAATCCAAGGCATTAAATAGTGCACTCTCCCTTGGTTCAAAAGTACGAGCACAGGGTCTACTAACGACGGTTAGTGGTGGTTGAGAAGTCAGTGGGTCAGATGATCCTCTCTTAGTCGCAAGCAGCTTCTCCTGAAATCCTTTTGTAGTGCGTGTTGGCCATTCATCGGCATTTTCCAATCATAACCCAATGCATACATTGTTTGGTTAAGAATGACTTCAAAGCTACAACCTGCGTAGGTTAAGTCATAGTCCTCAACCTATAATTAAGTTGTTGATGCAAAAGTGGATCTGCAAACACAAAGGGCTAATACCCGAATCGATATCCAAAGCGTGCCAGTCGATTTGACCTGTTAATCGACAAGGATGAAGATACAAGCACTTTGGTCCTGACAACAGCGATACGCCCGGAAGTCACGGCCAAGAGGTACTCACGCGGAACTCGAGAATCGCCGAAGGTTGCACTGAAACGATGCAACTCGCCGAATCAATGAGAACTCGTAAAAAGGAAAAATATGCAAATTGTCGAAGTCGCCGAAAAGTAAGTAGATGCAAATAGGAGTAAAAGTTGGTTTTTTATATTGATTGATTTCTATTACATTGCCCCTCAATCTATATTTATACCCTGATCTAAAGAGACATAACCAAATACGACTAGGACACCAAGTCCATATCTAAGGAAACACGTGACTCTTACATGAATCATACTCTAACAAATATAGAAAAGGAAATCAACTCCTATCTATTTCCCTGTCCGCCTCAATTACGATGGAATTCTCACCGACCTCCTTTCCATCGGCATACTTCCTGTTTCATCGGCAGTAGTTTTCAAGCCTTCCTTCATCGGCATCGACACTAACATCTTCAACCTTATCGGCAACGCCCGAGTCTAAATCAACCTTTCCATCGATCACCACCATTCATCGGCAACCATCTTTACAAGCTGATTTTCATCAGCTGTCAGCGTATACAGTAACTTTCCTCCTGCCGATTAGCCCACTCTGATCATTTTGACACGTGCAAAAAAACGGTGTCAACACATGCCCCCCAATTTCGGAGTATAAAACCATTAATGCTCTGAAATTTACTCCATATAACGTTTGCCTTCGCCCAATTACCGTAACTCATCCTCCAAGCCAAAACTTGATCTGTTATCAAATCTAATCAAATTTAGTCCTGATTCACGCACCTCAGTAAATATCGCACAATTTCCAACCACTCTTGCCCTGATTATGGTTAAGATACCGAAACAATAATCCATCGGCAAGATCCTAACATAATAATGCCGCCATTTTCAGAATTAAAATATCCTGTACCGAGATCTCTTCCAAGTCATGATTACTTGCCATCAAATCATCTGTACAATCCCTTGATTATTGTGCGAACAGTTACCATATCCATCTGAACCACCTCGACCCACATGCGCGCGGCATAGAGATAAGTCCAGAATACCCCTACTCCAAGCGGCTTATAAATAGATTTCTCCGGAACGCTCGTCTTCTACCCTCAGACTCCAATCTTTGGCATTCTCTCTTTTCGGCGGCGACTCCGACGAACAACTGCGCGACCTCAACCAACAAGAACTTTTCTCCAGCGTCAACCTCGAGTCTCCAGCTCGTGCCCCCATCTACCTCAAGATAATGACAATCAACTTTGACGTCCCTGCGGTTCGTTCCACTTCCGTTACTTTTTACCTCGATTCCTCTGGTCTTTGCGAGTTCATACAGTTGGTAATTTTTCTCTTTTTCTTTGTTCTTCGGATCCTCTAAACTTAGGAACTTCACAATAAATTAGTTATTCCAACCAATCAGCCGCATTTCCAATGCCTAGGACCAATGGGCAACCCAGATCCAACTGATCTGATTAATGCAGAGGTTAACAGAATCCCTTTTAGAGCCCAAAATTTCTCTCTGAATTTAT